TACTACTGCCACTACTACTGCTACTACTACGACTACTACTACACTAACAATACTAATAATAATAATACAGTTACTGCGACTACTACGAATCAAAATAATGCTGCCATTACGACTACTACCACTACTACTACCACTACCACTACCACTACTACTACTACGACTACTACTACTACTACTACTCCTACTCCTACTACTACTACTACTACTACTACTGCTACTACTACTGCTACTACTACGACTACTACTACACTAATAATACTAATACTAATAATAATACAGTTACTGCGACTACTACGAATCAAAATAATGCTGCCATTACGACTACTACCACTACGACTACCACTACCACTACCACTACTACTACTACTACTACTACTACTACTACTACTACTACTACTACTACTCCTACTACTACTACTATTACTACTATTACTACTACTGCTACTACTACTTCTTCTCACCTCCCCCTCCCCCCTTCGTGCTCCCCCTCCCTCTCAACTCCGAGGTCATTTTGACTCAAGGTTGTGGGGTCCGAACGGAACAACGTGGATACCGTTGCCCCGCGGCTTGCACTCGCGTCTGGAGAGGCAGCCCGCCCTGTTTTCTCACCGTGGGCAGTTCGCCCTGCCCAAGGACTTCTTGGCCTTGGCGGTGTAGCCGCGCGCTGCCACCTCGAGCCAGTCGCAGCACGGCCAGGCTGAGCGCGGGCACGTGGCCCATCCCCCTTCGGGTTCGTCTGCTGGGTGTTGAGTCGGAAGCATAATCAGCGTTAGGCCGCAGCAAACACGCGGCTGTGTCGTCACTGCTGGAGCAATCGCACAGGTGAACGTTGGTGGGATGCGGAGTCTGCCACATCATGCGAGCTATGCAAGAGGCCGAAAGGCAAGTGCTTCCACGCAGACAAGAGAGGAGAGAGGCCGCCGTCGGCATCGGCCAAGATAAAGTCTTGCCACAAGGAATTCATTCAGGAGGTCAAACGACTGCGACTTACGGCTGAACTCGCAGCTGTGCCTAAGGTCAAGTATAAGACGTCCAAGGCTGCTGCGGCCGAAGATGAGTCTATGAGCGTCGACGAAGGCTCGGCCAAGAAGAACACGGCTCGTATCACGGGGCTCCGCAGCCAGATCGACGGTCTCAAGAAGTTCCCTGACAGCACTGGTGTGTTCGCGTCGATGCGGGCGTCTCTGGTCAAGGAGCTCAATGAATGCCGAGCCAGACTGCTCGACGCCAAGCCGCTGCACATCCAGATCGAGAGGATCACGCAACTGATCGCTGGCGCCCAAAAAGGAGGGCTACGAAGCAGAAGCAACTGGATAGTCTCGAAAAGCATATTGAAGCGCTGCAAAAGGAGAGGGGTGACGCGGCGCAGGGGATGGCAGCGACCCAGGTGGATTTCGTGGACCTCGAGGCCCAGCGCACCCAAGTGGCAGCCTGCTTCCCGCAGCCGGCCACCGTCGTCGACGGCGCGGTGGCCTCTCTCGACGCGGTGCCCCGGTCCGCGCGCGCGTCGACGGCGCAGCCCGAGCACGTTGCCGGCAGCTCCGGCGCCAACAAGGGGCTGGCTCGCGAGCTGGCGGGGGCCGTCGGATAGCTGCGCGAGGCCACCGGCAGGGCGGCCCAGACCACCACCGAAGCTGATGCGGCTCAGCGGCGCGCGGGGGCTGAGGCTGCTGCGGCCGAGGTGCGGCCTGCTGCAGACGGCGGCCGGCCGCCTGCTGCTGGCCCCGCTGATGGCGGCGGCGCGGCGGCGCCTGCGCCCGAGCCCAGCGCGGGATGGATTTCCCCCAGTTTCGGCGACGCCCAGGTCCTCGAGGCTTTCCTGGAGGCGACGGGGGTGCAAGGGGCCGAGGACCAGGAGGAGCTCAGCGGAGGAGAGGTCAAGAGGTGTGGCGACGGGCTGCTGGATTTGGCGAAGAGGCCCAAGAGCAATGCTTGGGTGGTTCGTCTTCTTGGCATGTGTGCCGGCAGCGCCGGCGGCTGGGGCAGGTGGGGGGCTTGTCTCGGCAGGGAATGATGCCCACAGCATGAGCCAGCGGTCATCACGCCCACAAATGTCTCATCGCACGGTGCTTTGGAATCGCTGGTAGCGCAGGAGTCATTCCAGTCGGAGATTGTTCTGGCGCGGGAACATCATGCAGGGCCGGACAAGTCCCCGGCCCTTCAGCAGCAGGTTGGGAATCCTGGTCACACTGGCGCGTGGGAACTGCGCCTGCTCCCAAGGGAGGAGAAACTCATGGATGCTGCGCGGTCCTTGCCAAGGCGGGGATCCAGGTCTCGCTTCCCCCTGGGAAGACGTTAGGCGTTCTTGTTTCAAGATATGCTGTCTCGGGTCACGTTCATTGGGGTCTGTCTGGTGGCATTGTCTGTGCGCCTATCTGTTTGCACGACCCAGTGGGCCTCAAGTCTTCCAGTATTGCCATCCTCCGTGAGGTGGGCTTCCATTTGCTCGAGATGTCCAGAAAAGGTCTCACGTGGGTAGTGAGGCGGGGACTTCAATGTCGAGTCGCCTGCTTTGATCCCCTGGTTCAATCGATCGCTGGCGTCCCTGTATCTAGCCAGGAGACCACCTGCAGGCAGACGTTGCCAGGCCAGAAGTACGACTTCTTCGGGGTGGATCTTAGTCTGCTCGTCCGTTATTTGCGGCGTGCAAGTTGACGAGGCCAGTGAGACCTTCCCGCACCGCCGAGTGGCATTGGAGTTGCTCGATGCAGACAAGCCTGTCGCGGTGTTAAATGGCATGGGGACCCCTGCTTTCGAAGCTGAGACTCCGCCAAAGTGCAGTCGTTTCCCATGCCAGTGGAAGCCGATGGAGAAGCTGATCAATGCTGCTGCGAATGACAATGAGCTGGCGCAGACACGGAACGACGTTATCCAGCTGATCGACATGGAGTTCTGTGGCCGCCACGACAAGGTGGGCCGCGAGGCGACTAAGCAGGTTGGACGTGCTGGTCCTCTGTGCTGGCGTTGAATCAAGCATGCCTGTAAGCCGCCCAAGTGAAGGCCGCCGACGAGAGGGTCAGCGGCGGAAGCGCGGGCTGCGGCGGCTGAATGGGCGTGCCCTCTCAGGAGAGTCAGGAGCGCAGGTATGAGGTTACCATGGGCAACTCTGCCACCGTCCTCTACGGCGCAGAATGCCTATTCGAACGTGTGCTGCGCAGGAGGTGGGTCCTTGTGGCGTTGGACCCAGCGGTCAGGCAATTCTTCGAGAGACGTGCATCGGCGCTGGCCGACCACCACTTCGACGATACGGTGGACTGCGCGATCGAGAGGGTAGCTTACATGGTCGAGGATTCAGCCGAGGAGCGGAACAAGTCGGATGGATCGGGTCACTTCCAGTTCTGTCAACAGGGCCTCTCGGGCCCATCTTTCCACGAGACCCAGAGATGCGACGTCCTGATTTTCGGACCCTTTCCCCAGGACCGGCTCTTCATCCTGAGTCGTTTTCTGAAGCTTCCGAGGCCCAGCAGGGGGGCGCGGGGGGCCCGAAAACATTGAAAAACCGCCCGTCCTGATCTTTTCTACCGACGCGATCATGTCTTGGGAGCCAAAGCCGTGCAAGATCGGGGATCTTCTGACCCGGGTCAATCCAGACCCGGGTCAGCAGGAAACCAAAAAACTGCAATGCAGAGAAAAAAAACAAAAAACAAAAAAAAACTGCAACGCAGGTCTTCGCAAACCCTGGCCAGCCAATATGCGCGGCCGCCTCGCGGCCACGAGCGGCTCGCTGACCCGGGTCAGCCAGAGGGGGTCTTCGCAGGATCCTGCGGGATCCTGTGCCCTGGCTGACCTCCGTTTGCACTGACCCCCGTCTCAAGGCTCCCGAGGCCTGGGTGCGCGGGTATTGCCGGTCCCTCAGACCTGGGCGTCGTATAGCGACGGCCTGCCTTCCCCAGTGTTCAAGGCTTGGGCTCTGGGGGCCGCCGCCTGGCCCCTGCATGGGGGGTCAGCGAGAAGGCTCATGTCGGGCATGTCCCCCTGCAGGGGGATTTTCGACGAGCTATTATAAAAAATATAAAAAAACAAACAAAAAAAAAAAACAAAAAAAAAAAAAAAAAAAAAAAAAAAAAACATACCCCAAAAGGGTCCCGACAAGAGGCGGCCACCACCCGGCCCGGGGGAGCAGTCGCTCCAGCGCATCGGCGATGCGCCCTGACGACTGGGCTCCAGGTGCCGGCGCACACACGGCGGCGTGCGCCTCGAGGGCCCGCTCGGGGCGGAGAAGGGAGGAGGAGAGAGGAGGAGGAGGAGGAGGAGGAGGAGGAGGAGGAAGGAGGAGGAGGAGGAGGAGGAGGAGGAGGAGGAGGAGGAGGAGGAGGAGGAGTAGGAGTAGGAGGAGGAGGAGGGGAGGAAGGAGGAGGAGGAGAGGGAGGGAGGAGGAGGAGGGAGAGGAGGAGGGAGGAGGGAGGAGGGGGACGAGAAGAGAGGAGGACAAGGAGGAGGAGCAGGAGAAGAAGGAGTGGGCTCCTACCCTTGCTTTTCCAGAGGGGACCGCCCCGCCTGGCGCCCCGCAGCCTGCTTCACTGTAAGCAGTGAGGCGATGCGCGCGATTGCTTCACTTTTTTGATGCGCTGTGAGTCGTGCGCTGCACGTGGCCGTCTGGGCGGATAGCCTCGGAGCTTGTCAGGTTGCCGAAGCCGGGCAAGCCTGGGGAACATTGATGAAAGAAGAAAAAACGCCACAAAGATCAACTTTTGGCGCTCCGCGCGGATTTCTTGGATCTGCGCTGGACCCCCCTCCCTGGCGCGCGGAGCGCGCCAGGGGCGGCGCCGGAGGCGCCGCCAGGGGGTCCCAGCGCGGATCCAAGAAATCCGCGCGGAGCGCCAAAAGTTTGTGTTTATGGCGTGCACGTCGTTCATTTCTAATCGTGCTCATTTCAAATTGTGCTCGTTTCCATTTGTTCCTGGCCCCCTAGTGGCCAGGAAGAGGCCCAGGATAGAACAATTAGAAATGAATGGATCTTGGCCCCCCAACAAGTCAAAGAACTTCCGAATAATTAGAACCGAACAATGTGTAGCCAGCATTGTGTGCGGGTCCTCTCAGACAGTGGGCAAATGTTTCTCTGAATGAATATGCCAGCTGCCATGCCGTCTGCAGCTGCGGAGGCAGGATGCCCGCGGCGTCTTGCGTGGATGCTGCTGCGCACTGACCGGCAGCCGAGGCGCATCACGGGGCTCGGCTCGGTGAGTAAGTCTAGGTCGGGCGTGTCCCCCTACGGGCGGATTCTGGACGACACAAAAATCGAATATGCTCAAAATAGTGGCCAAAAATGGCAGAGAGTTGTCCCCACACTATTTCTGACTCCTCTTGAACATTCCCCCTGCAGAGGGACGTGCCCGACGTAAGAGTAAGGGGTGCAGTTCCTTTCGGGGATGTCGGCGGGGCGTGGCCACGCCACTGCCATCACTGGCAGGTCAGCATGCCGAGACCCTCGCAAAAAGGACCCGTCGAGAGGCTCAAGCTGCAGTCCCCAGGGGGGCCCCTGGGCGATGTCTTTTTCCAGTGGGTTAGCGGCCAGGCCAAGGAAGCAGGTGCCCATCGGTCGGAAGAAGCAGGCAGAAACATGAAGTAGGAAGGCGTTGAAAATAGATTGGGTTCCGTCCGCCCCCTAAGGAGGACGGAAAAGGTGAAGACACTCGATCATTGAACTAGGAAGGCGCTTAAATTTGATTGGAATCCGGGAATCAAAAAAAATACGTTCAACGACCGATGCGTATTGATATTTATGCTGTCTCGGCGTTTGTCCAAGATACGCGCGACATTGGGTTTCGGGTCACTCGGCCTCCAGCGGCGCAGCTGCGCAGGCGGCCGGGGCGAAGGCGGCGGTGGCCAGGCTGTCCGCGGTCAGGTCTGCACGGAGTCTGGGACACGACTCTTTTGGCGGGCAGGGCCCAAAGAAGGAAACGATTGAGTAGGGTCCTGAGACGTCGCTGTGTATGGGGTTTAAGTACAAACGTACAGAACCCCTGATCCGTAGGTAGAGCAAGGAGGGAAAGATAGGGATCGTTTCCTCCTGTGCGACCAGCGTCCTGGTCTCTTCCAGTACCTGAGCCGATAAGGCAGGCAAAAGGGCGAGCGAGGAGTAGAGGTGAGGGTATGAGACGGGTTCCTTTCACAGTCGCGGGGGGGCTTCGGGCCCTCGAGAAGGCTGGAGGTCTGAAGGTTCTGGCCCTGTGGATCACGGATGTCCTGCCGTCCGGAGGCGGCGGAGCGGGAGCCATCGGGCTCACCGACGCCTGTCTCATGGAGCTGCGTTCTCTTGCGGGCGAGCTGGTTGGGCCCAGGAGAGGCCTCGCGTGGCGCACTGTTTGCACGTGCGCGCAGGAAGATCTGCTGTACAGTCGGGGAGTTGACCTAAGGAACGATAAAGAAGGAACGAGGCCCCTTTCTCCCACGAATTAAACTCCGATGTTCCATGGAGAACCTCAGGAAAACCCAAGGAGCACTGTACAGCAACTAAGGAACACGGAGCCCCTCCCCAACAAAAAGGGTTCCTTCTTCAGGGCCCCGACTGTATGACCCTACGTTCGATGCGGCTTGCCCGCTCCTTGCTCGCTGTGCCGCCTGGCAGGGGGGACAGGAGGACTCTGGCCCCGCAGCTCAGAGCGGCGCGGCGAGCGATCCGCACGCGCATAGGTCAGCACGACATGTGGAGAATGTGCGTTGGTCCTACTTCGGCCGTCATCCTCACTCTTCGCAGGACTGGTTGGGACACGGCGGCCCCACATGTGCTGCGGACGGAAAAAAATGATGCCACTTCTCTGCATGGGTGCTCGCCCTCGGAGGTGCGGGACACTAGTGCGCGATGGGGTGGAGCGCTGGATTTGGCGCAGGATCCCCTACCATTAGGTCGGACATGTCCTCCTACAGGGGGAAAAGCAAGAATCAACAAACACCCAAAAGTATGTAAAATAATCGAAACATCGTCCCCTGACCATTTTTGGGGCTATTTTGAATATTCCCCCTCTAGAGGGACATGCCCGACTTAACCCTACCACTAGCCTGAGGCTGCTGGTAGCGAGGGGGCCTGGATGCGGGCGGTGCGCCTCTCGGTTCTTGCTCTCCCAGCAGGCGCGCGCCAGGGGTGACTCTTGGGTTTCCACTGGTCCTCCTCCTCCTCCTCCTCTTCTTCTTCGTATAATTATTATTCTTAGTATTCTTATTATTATTCTTCTTCGTATGTTTCTTCTTCGTCTTATTATTATTATTATTATTCTTAGTCTTCTTATTATTATTATTATTATTATTCGGATTCTTCTTATTCTTCTTATTATTCGTCTTATTATTCTTATGTTTCTTTTTATTCTTATTATTCTTCATATTATTCTTCTTCTTCGTATTATTATTATTTTTCTGCTTCTTATTATTATTCTCATTATTATTTTTATTATGCTTCTTATTCTTATTATTCTTATTATGCTTCTTATTCTTATTATTCTTCTTATTATTATTATGATTATTATTCTTCTTATTGTTATTATTATTCGTCTTCTTGTTCTTCTTATTCCTCTTCCTCTTCCTCTTCCTCTTCCTCCTCCTCCTCCTCCTCCTCCTCCTCCTCCTCCTCCTCCTCCTCCTCCTCCTCCTCCTTCCCCTCCTCCCTCCCCCTCCTCCCTCCTCCTCCTCCTCCTCCCTCCTCCCTCCTCCCTCCTCCTCCCCCTCCTCCTCCTCCCTCCTCCCTCCTCCCTCCTCCCCTCCTCCCTCCTCCCTCCTCCCTCCCCTCCTCCTCCTCCTCCCTCCTCCCTCCTCCCTCCTCCTCCTCCCTCCTCCCCTCCCTCCTCCCCTCCCTCCTCCCTCCTCCCTCCTCCCTCCTCCCTCCTCCCTCCTCCCCTCCTCCCTCCTCCCTCCTCCCTCCTCCCTCCTCCCTCCTGCCTCCCTCCTCCCTCCTCCCTTCCTCCCCCTCCTCCTCCCCCTCCTCCTCCTCCTCCGCCCTCCCTCCTCCCTCTCCCTCCTCCCTCATCCCTCCTGCCTCCTCCCTCCTCCTCCCTCCTCCCTCCTCCTCCTCCCTCCTCCTCCTCCCTCCTCCCTCCTCCCTCCTCCCTCCTCCCTCCTCCCTCCTCCCTCCTCCCTCCTCCCGCCTCCCTCCTCCCCTTCCCCTCCTCCTCCCTCCTCCTCCTCCTCCTCCCTCCCCCCTCCTCCTCCTCCCTCCTCCTCCTCCTCCTCCTCCTCCTCCTCCTCCTCCCCTCCTCCCCTCCTCCTCCTCCTCCTCCTCCTCCTCCTCCTCCTCCTCCGCCTCCTCCTCCCCTCCTCCTCCTCCTCCTCCTCCTCCTCCTCCTCCTCCTCCTCCTCCTCCTCCTCCTCCTCCTCCTCCTCCTCCCTCCTCCTCTTCCTGCCGGGGGGCCGTTGGCCCTCCAGAGCGCAAGTTTCAGGCCGGCCTGTCGGTTTTCAGGCAGATGCGGTTCCTGCGGCGCAGCGCGGCTCGCTCGGCCACCAGTCTGACGGCTGCCACTCGGCCGTCGCCTCCTGCAGAGAAGAGGGCCCGGCGAGGCAACCGCTCCCCGATCATGCCTGGCAGCACAGGGAGCGCCTGCTCTGCGGGAGCAGGAGATCTCTCCCTGGCCATCGCTCGGACGTCCATTCCCTGTGTTTTTTTCGGTTTCGCGCGTGGCTTTTGCGCCAAATCATCAAGGATGCTCCTCGATGGTCCTCGCCGAGGGAAGAATGCACACGTCCGAGCGATGCCAAGCTCCTGCTGGGGGACCGGACTGGGCTGCGGTTCCTCTGCCGCACGAGCCTCCCGCGGCTTCCTGCGAGGCCTCCGCCGCTGCTCCCACGCCCTCCCGGCTTGTGCCGGGGCTCCACTCGAGGCACTCGGGGCAGTCTCTGCTGCTCACGGACTGCAGCGGCAGGGCTGGGGCGTGCCCCAAGGCGGCCAGATGCGGACGGAGCGTCGTGGAGGTCACTGCAGGGCGGCTGGCCTGTCCGGGCGGAGTTCGGGGGGGGCTGCAAGGGCAGATCCAGACAGCTCCAGAGGCGAGCGCTGGGCTGGTCTGGAAACCACACGAGTGGGCCTCCCCAGCCTCACGATTACTGGTGACCGCTGAAGTTTTGTCCGAGAGGCCCGGTCCTGTGACTCTGAGCTCGAGCGCGGCCTGTCGCGCGCGTCACGCGTCCATCTAGAGAAAGATCTCTGGCCTCACGGAAAGAAGGGGTGGCAGGCCTGAGCTGACTTGGGTCCCAGCGCACAGGACGCTAGGGGACCTCGTGGACTCGGGAGCCTCTGCAGCCCCACCGTTTCGTGGGCAACGCCTGGGCGGACTTCTTCGCGAAGCTTGGTGCCCAGGATGTGGTTGTCGCACAAGGGTCGGTCGACTTGTTGAAACTTGCTGCGACAGTACGCAAGCTCGCGGCGAGAGCTGTGCAGTTGATATGTGCTCGTCCCGAGGTCTAGGAGGTTGCTCCGTTCAAGTCCAAGACGGCGGCAAGGCAAGACACATGCATTGTCATTGCTCACGATCCTGTCTAATTGGCTCCTGGTTCGACTGTGGTCCAGTGCAGGCGTTGTTGGGCCGCGGTCAGGACCCCATCCGGTGCCAGAATGTTGTTGAAGCCATGGGCGAAGTGCGAACCACCGCCCATGCTCCAAGCCCTGGCCCAGGCTGTTGAACAGATGGAGTGCCGCTCTCGTGTCTCCGGGGGCGGGGCAGGTTCTGCTGCCGCTGGCGAGACGGCGGTGGAGGTGGGAGGGCTCAGCTCGAATGCGATAGCCACGAGGATCATCGTGCTGGGCCGCTTTTCTTTGGTAGCCTCTGTGGGGTTCGGGCTGCGGCTGGCCCCCCGAAATGCGACAGCCTGGAGGGCCCGTGTCCCCCAGCGCCTCCGAAGCCTGCGCGTCGGCGGGCCCGCGGCTGGCTCGCGGACGACGGGCACCCCGCGACAGGTGCCGTGTCCTCACAGGCTCCTGGCCCGTTGGGCTCTCACTGATTCCTTGTTAGTGATTGGCGCCTCCCCCCCTTGAGGCGTTTTTGTTCATCCCTGCGAGTGGCGCGTTTGCGGCTCGATGTTCGCACGTTCTGCGCTGCGTCCTGCGTCTACCGCCCTCTCAAGCCCGCTGGTTCACCCGTCCGCCTCCTCGCCCGCCTCCCGCCATCACCAGTTGCCCCCAGGTTGCGAGGGCCACCCTTCAAACCCGCCTCCCGCCACCCGCCATCGCCAAGACAGGCGGGCACGCGAGGGAATGAGAAGTTCACACCCCTGGTTGCTGGGGAAAATAAGACAGTAACGCATGATGCGGGAAACTCATTTTTTTAGTGGCAGCGGCGAGGATCCCCACCACGTTCGAGGGCAGCCGAGGGGCACTGCGGGGCCTAAGTGGGCACAACAGGCGAAGGAACGTGAACAGCGCGCGGAAGGGGAAAGGAGCACGCTCAGAGCACGAAATCCTTCAGCGTGTGCGACGGAAAACGAACGTGCACAGCGGAGACGTGGAACTCCTTGGCGATGAGGACTCGAGCCCGGGGCCCAGGGCCCACGACCTCGGGCACTGCCAAGAAACGAAGAGGGAAACGGAACAGGAGAAAGACGGAAGCCGACGGACATGGAGGACGGCGGAGGCGGAGGAGGAGGAGCAGTAGGAGGAGGAGGGAGCGGGGAGGCGGGAGGCAGGAGAAAGAAGGAGGGAGGAAAAGGGAGGGAGGCGGGCGCCAACAGCACAGAACACCTGCACTGCGTGCACGGCTGCCTGGGGGCAGCCAGGCGATAACAAAAGCGAACTGGCCGTCCTGCCCCAGGTATGAAGAGGCGCCCGCTGCCGGACGCACGACACGGTAGGAGATACACATCCAGATGGCCGCCGGCGCGGACGGAGGCGCGGCCCTCTCCGAGTGCTGGGCACAGAAACTCTTCGAGGCGCGGCCCTCTTCGAGTGCTGGGCGCGGCCCTCTTCGAGGCGCGGCCCTCTTCGAGTGCTTGCGCGACCTCCACGGCCGACGGCCCCACTCAGGCAGACGCACCGTGCCCGCGCGGCGCGGCCTCCGTGCACCCTCAAGAGCTTCGTGGCCCGCCGCCGCTGCGGGCCCGCGCGGACTGCCACCTCCCTGCCGATCACCCGGGCGCGGGTCGCCGCAGCTCGGCGGGGAGGCGGCTCCGTCGCCCGAGGCTCGCCGCCTCCGTCCACCGAGCCGAAGGCCACCCGGAGCCGGCGAGGGTCGCCGAGCCGCGGCGGGCCCGCCCTCGGCGCTCGCAGCTCTCTCACGCGTGCCGATCCCAGCGCTGCCACGAGTCGAAGACCGCCCAGAACCAGCGACGGTCGCCGAGCCGCGGCAGGCCCGCTCTCGGTGCTCGCAGCTCTCTCACGCGTGCCGATCCCAGCACCGTCGTCGACCGGAGGAGGCCCATGCGACGGCATCCGGAGCGGCTTCCTGCGCGGTGGGGTGCCGCTGCCGAGTGTCCGTCCACGTAGTCGCACTGGTTGCCCAACAGGGTCCCGCACGCAGAGTGACTCGCAGGGTGTTCGTCAACGCGAGAGGCCGATCCCAACGTAGCCCGGGAATCCTGCCAAGTTGCGAGACGATTTCTCATACGCTGCGACGCCCATGTTGTAACTGAGGTCATCCGGCTTCAAGTGAATCGCCCGCATCTCGTCAAGCAGCGACAGCGCCTGCCGCCACTGGCCGCATCTCTCACACGCGCAGAGCTCAGCGTTGTAGCTGATGACGTTGGGCTCCAGCCTCGCCTCACGCATCTCGCTCAGCAGCGCCAAAGCCCGCTGCCACTGCTCGCCCTTCTCGCACGCACTGATCCCGGCGTTGTAGCTGACTAGGGCGAACCCGTGGACTTCGTCCGCGTCATCTTGGGCCAGTCTTGGCTCGAAAAGGCCGTCTTGGGCCTGTCTTTGCTCGAAATGGCGAGAAGGTGAAGATCTTTCAGAAACCATCGAAGAATCAATGATTTCGTTTACCGCGGCTCGTCTGGAGCGCCTTCGAGCGGTCTTGGGCCGTCTCGGAGGCCCTCTTGGACCGCTTGGACCGCTTCCTTCTCTTCGTCCGCCTTCCGCTCTACCTCCGCCTAGACAGCCTTCGGAGCGTCACAGACGGCTATGGTGGGTCTACGGTGTACGTCTCGCCGTTTGTCAATTTTGAAAGCACCTGAGGCCTTGAAAAAAGTCACCCGGAGGGCTCTGGTGATTTTTTTCCGGTTGCCTCTTCGAAGCCTCATGGCGGGCGCTGCCGTCTCCTTGGGGACGGTTCGTGGGCCTCTCGGGGTTTCTTATGGAGCTCCTGGGGGCCTGTTGGGGCCTCGTTGGCTGTCTTGCGGCCTCCTAGGGGCCTCTTGGGGCCCTCTTGGGCCGTCTTGCGGCCTCCTGGGGGCCTTTTCTCTTGAAGTTTTTTGGGGCGCCTCTGGGGCGGTTCCTGGGCTGTCCCCCCGAGCCTCTTCCGGGGGACAGCCCAGGAAATCTATCGTGCTTGCGTGCTGTGTGTGTGTGCGTGCTCCTGTGTGAGAGGTCGGAAGGGTGTCCCGACGTCACCGCTCGCTCTTGGGAGCTATGCCTGGGAGAGCTCTCTACGCTGCGTCTCGCTCTTGGGAGCCTTGGTGAGAAGAGCCTTGTACTTCACCGATCGCTCCTTTAATGGGCCTCTGGGCCAGCCTGGTGGTTCTTGTGGGGGTCTTTTTTGGGGGCCATTATGAAGCTTTTTTGGGCTGCTCCGGGAGCGTTTTGGGACGTTTGGGGGCCTTTTTGGGTCGTCACGGGGCGTCAGGGAGGCCTTGGACCGTCTTGTAGCTCTCTTGAGGCTGCCTGAGGCCGTCTTGGAAGCCTCTTGGGGCCCCCTCGGAGCTCTCTTGGGGCCGTCCTGGGGTTCTGTGAGGCCGTTTCAGGGCTCTCTGGCGTCGTCTTGGGGCTCTTGTGGGCCGTCTTGGAGCCCTCTTAGGGGCCGCTGGCGTCTTCTTGGGGCGATTTGGGAGGCCTCTGGGCGTGTCCTGGGCAGCTGAGGAGCACACAAGGCGGGCATGCTGAAAATATACGTTTTCCCATCGGAATTTGACGATTGGGGCCTCTTTGGCGTGCGCTCGGGGCCCTCTTGGGGCGTCTTTGCGGCCTCTTGGATCGTCGTGGAGCCCCCCCCGGAAGGCTTCGGGCCCTCGTGGGCCGTCTCGGGACCCACTGAGGCCGTCTTGGAGAGCTCTTGAATTGTCTGGGAACCCCTCTGGAGCGCCTCTGGAACCGGCCTGAGCGATTCGGTGCACACGAGGCCCTGAGACATTCTCGCACGCGCTTCCACTGGCCATGTAGGAGAGACTAGTGAGAACCCGTGGATTAAATCAACGGTGTGCTGAACCTGGGACTCTCACATTGTGGGCGAACAGCTCGTTAAAGTTGAACAGCTCGGGCGTCCCTGGCGCCGTGTCGGGGGCATGTTGGGCCATCCTGCGAGCTTCTTCTGGGGGACAGCCCGAGAAACTTCTTGTGCGTGCGTGCCGTGAGGTTGCTGTCAGCAAGCCCCCATGAGAGGACGGAGGGAGCCGCCGACGGATGCTGCTTCAGGGGGGGCGTGCGCTGTGGCATCCATCAAAACTCGCTCAGGGAGGCCCGAAGACGGCCCAAGCTGGGACCAAGAGGGACTCCGTGCGGCCCTCCAGAGAGCACATAACGGATGCTGCAATGAGGTCGGACACGCCCCCTACAGGCGGATCTTGGGGGGAAAAAACCCAACAAATGATCAAAAATGGAGAAAGAATGGTCTGAAAATCGTCCTCGCACTATTTTTACCTATTTTTGAACATTCCTCCTGTAGAGGGACGTGCCCGATTTGATTGTAGCATCTGTCGGGGGTCTTCTCCGCCCTCTCACGGGAGCTTTCTGAAGCCTCCTCGGGCCCTCTTTTGGGCAACTCCTGGCGCGTCTCGGGGGGCACCTGACACTCGAGTGTAAGCTTAGGTCGGGCGTGTCCCCCTACAGGCGGATTGTGGAGGACAAAATAAAAATATTCGACAAAAAATCAAAAATTGACAAATATACCCAAAGAATCGTCCCCTGACCATGTGTTGACTAGTTTTGAATATTCCTCCTTTAGGGGGACATGCCCGACGTAAGTGTAGGCCGTGGGGGCCTGCCTTGGGCCAGCCTGGGCCCCTCTTGGGCCGTCTTCCTGCACTCGTCGAGGCCTCTGGGGCCATCGTGGGGCGATCGCCTGCATGGGGCCGTTCTTGGCCGTCATGGCGAGAGTGTGGGAAACAGTGGGAAACACCAGGTTTTTGCATGATTACTGGTCTCGTGGGTCTGTCTTCGGAGTCCTCGTGAGCCCTCTTGGACCGTTCCTGGGGGTCTTGTTTGGGCTATCCTGGGCAGCTCCTGGGGCGCCTCGGGGGGCAACTTGTAGCTCTGTGAGGCTCTCCAGGGCCTGTTCTGGGCCGTCTTAAGGGCCCTCGTTGGCCGTCTTGGTGGGCTCGTGAGGGCCTCTTAGGCCATCTCGGCGCGATCTTAGGAGGACCTGGAGCCGTGCGGGGCCATTCTGGGCCCGTCATGGGGAGAGCGTGAAAACTCTTGGAATATGAATGATGTTGACTTGTTTGTTCGTCTCGTGGGGCCGTTATCGGGGTCCTCCTGGGCCCTCTTGGGCCGTCATGGGGCCATGTTCAGTGTCTCGGTCCGCCTTGGAGCTCGCTTTGGTGCCTGTCGGGCAGCTCCTGGGGCCCTCTTGGGGCTCTCTTGGAGGCCACCCGGAGCTCTAGGAGGCTGTCTTGGGCTTCTCTTCGGTGACCTTCGGGCCCTCTGGAGCCGTCTTGGGACACCTGGCGGGGCCTCCTGGATCGTCTTGGGGCGAGCTGGGGCAGCCCTGCAGCCATCCGGGGCCGCCCGTGGCCGGAAGTGGCGAGAACACTGGAAACCTTCGAAAACCTTAGGAAATCCCTTCTCTCATCCTCGTCCCTCCTCCTCCTCCTCCTCCTCCTCCTCCTCCTCCTCCTCCTCCTCCCTCCTCCTCCTCCTCCTCCTCCTCCTCCTCCTCCTTCCTCCTTCCTCTCCACGATCTTGGCCTCGGGGGACGCTTGCCGGGGTCCGGCTGGGCCGTCTTCGGAGGCACCTGGCCCGTCGGCGGGCCGTCCTGTGTTGTCACGGAGCTCCGTTCGCCTGAGGCCGTCTAAAGCCACCTGGGGGCTGTCTGGAGCCGTCCGAGAGCGACAGGGCACTCAGGACGCTCGGAGGTATCTCGCGACCTTCTCGCCCCTGTCGCACGCGCAACGACCGGAATTGCAGTGCAGACTAGGGACGGCCCGTGGGCTACGAAAGCCACGCAAGCCTAGTCGCGTGCGAGGACGAGGATCACTTCCATCCAGAGCCGTCCAGCCAGATCCTTGGGGTCTCCTGGGGAGGCCCCCGGAGAACCCAGAAGGGCTCTCTGATCCGTCACTTTGATCAGCCTTCAAAGTGGCAGCTCCCAGGGCCGTTGTAGGCCTATCTTGGGACGCTCTCGGGCCTCTCCTAGCTTCCCTTGTGAACACCTGGGCGCCCACTTGAGGCCCACTGAAGCCGTCTGGGGGCCGTCCTGGACTGCTTCGGGCTCTCCTGGGCCGTCTGGGGCCCCTCTTGGGAGCTCCTTGGGCCGTCTTGGGGCCACCTGGGCGGCTCCTCGGGCAGGCGCGGGCCGCCTGGAGCCCGAGAAGACAAGAGCGCGAAAAGCATCGACAACCCTGACAAGGGAAATCAGCAAGTGTTTCCTCTGGAGGCTGTCTGGGGACCCTCTTGGGGCTGCCTGGGGCATCGTGGGAGCCATCTCGGACGGTCTCAGAACGTGCTTGGGTCGCCTCGGGCCGTCCTGGACCGTCCAGGGCCGCTCTGGCGGCCACCATGGCAGCTCCGAGGGCCCGGCCAGTGGCCTGGGGAAGGCCACGAGAGGCCGCGGGAGCCTCGCGGGCCGGGCCGTCGTGGGCCGCCTGGAGCCCGCGGCGGCAAGATGGCGAAGAGGATCGGCAGACCTCCAAAAGGAAAACAGCAAAGGTCGCCTTCTGAAGGCTGTCTGGGGACCCTCTTGGTTAACGGGCGAAGAACGGTATAAAATAAACTTTTTCGCTGTCGGGGGCGCCTGTCCCAGGGCGGCTGGAAAGTTTATACCCTTACGGTGGCACCGTAGGGGTATAAACTTTCCAGCCGCCCAGGGGCAGGCGTCCCCGAGGGCGGAAAAGTTTATGTTATACCGTTCTTCGCCCGCTGACTTGGGGTCGTCTGGGGCAGCTTGGGAGCATCTTGGGCAGTGCCAGGGCAACCAGCTGGGCGGTCCCCGGAGAGCGCGCGGGAGGCCCTGAGGCCCCCCCCCCGGCTGGCGGGAGCGCGGGAGGCATCGAGGAAGCAAGAATGGAATCTGTGGGTTTTGCCTGCGGGGGCCGTTCTGGATGGGTACCCTCCTCCTCCTCCTCCTCCTCCTCCCCCTCCTCCTCCAACTCCTCCTGCTGCATCTCCTCCTCCTCCTCCTCCTCCTCCTCCTCCTCCTCCTCCTCCTCCTCTCCTCCTCCTCCTCCTCCTCTCCTCCTCCTCCTCTCTCCTCCTCCTCCTCCTCCTCCTCCTCCTCCTCCTCCTCCTCCTCCTCACCTCCTGTCGGCGGCGAGCGAGGGGGGAAATGAGAAGAAGGAGAAGGCCGTCTCAGAAGGCGGCGGGGCTCCTCAGAAGCCCTCGCGCCTTCTGAGAGGTTTTCTGTGTCTTCGGGGAAGGCTTAGAAAACTTCTCGGAAGGCGAGGGGACATCCGAGCATTCTGAGAAGGCCCGCTCCTTCTCACTTCCCCCCTGGGCTCACCGCCGACCTCAAGGCCGTCTGGTGGCGTCATGGGGTCCACTTGAGCCGTGTTGGGGGGCTGCTTGCGCAGTCCGAGAGCGCGCTTGGACCGCCTCGGGCTGCCTTGGACTGTCCCAGACCGCCCTTGCGACCACCATGGCGGCTTCGAGGGCCCAGCTGGAGCGGCTCTGGACCGTCGGTTTTATTGCCACTGGAAAAGCTCTTCGCGCGCACTGATCGCGGCATTGTAATAAAGAGGATGACGCTTGGCTCCAGCTTCGCCTCCCGCAACTCGCTCAGCAGCGCCAAAGCCCGCTGCCACTGCTTGCCCTTCTCGCACGCGCTGATCCCAGCGTTGTAGCTGATGAAGATGAAGAAGGCTGGGCTGACTCGTGGACTAAACGTCCACTCAAGCTTAGTCGCATGCGAGGGCGAAGATGGCGGGCCTGCTTGCCTGCTTGCGTGATGCAATGGTTGCGCGGCTGCCGGCCGTCTGTCTGACAGCATGTCTCCCTGTCTATATCTACTTGTATGCTGGCCTGCGCGCCTGACTTATTGTTTGCCTTGCTGCTTGATCGTCCGCTCGCTGCCGCTTGCCGCGGCTTCATATTGCGTGCTGGTGCTCCCCAAAAGGTGATTGCAATGAGGGGTTCTTACCCGGCTTACGAGGGAACTGGATGCGTCCGTCCAAGAGTTCCGCCGCATCGCTGCCCGCTGCCGCCTCTTTGCTGTCGTGTCGCCGCCCATGTGGACGAGTCCGTCGGAGTTTCGCCGCGTCGCCGCCCGTTGCCGCCTCGTTGCCGCCCATTTGGACGAGCCCTTCGAGGAGGAGGAGGAGGAGGAGGAGGAGGAGGAGGAGGAGGAGGAGGAGAAGCAGGAGTCCTTCGAGGTCTCGCCGCGTCGCCGCCCGTCGCCGCCCCGCTGCCGCCCACCTTGGGGGGGGTCCGTCGAGACCTCGCCGCGCCGCGGCCCGTGGCCGCCCACCTGGGGGGGGGGGGTCCGGCGAGGCTTCGCCGCACCGCGGCCCGTTGCCGCCTCGTTGCCGCCCGCCGCGCCTGGAGGTCCATCGAGGTTGCACCGCATAGCTTACAGGGCAGTTTTCAATACCTGGGATTTTTGATATATATATATATATATATACATATATATAATAAATAAATAGATAAATAAATAAATAAACAAATAAACAAATAAACAAATAAATACATACATAAATAAATACATCAATAAATATATATATATATATATATATATATATATATATGTGTGTGTGTGACTTTAATGTATGACTAATTTTGGAATAAATGTATGCACGAGCTCGTCGTTGCTTGTAGTACTAAATCCCTGCATGTTTTAATACGTGATCCGCACGCGGAGCGTGCATTAAAAACGGCACTGTACACCACACAGCTTGCACCACATGGCTAGCACCACGTAGACTGCATCACGAAGCTTGCCCAGCCACCGTGCTACAACTGACTGGGTGGGGCCCGTACTCGTGCTGTGTGCTGATACCGACTGCCTGTAGATGGGTGCCTGTGGGTGCTGCTACTTGATGCGATGTGGTGCTGGTACACGTCGTTGATTTCTAATCGTGCTCATTTCTAATTGTGCTCGTTTCTGATTGTTCCTGGCCCCCTAATGGCCAGGAAGAGGCCCAGGATAGAACAATTAGAAATGAAAGTATCCTGGCCCCGCAAAAAATCAAAGACCTTTCGAAGAATTAGAAATGAACAATGTGTACTGTTGCATGGTGCTACTGCTGCATGGAAGGAGGGGGCCGCGACGAGCAAGAGAAGCGAGACGGAGCGAGGATCTAGGAGCAAGAGGCGAGGAGACCGGAACAAGACACGGGGAGCGAGGAGCCAAGAGCGACGAGGAAAAGAGCGGGGACAAAGGAGCGAGGAGAGAGGAGCGAAGAGCGAGGATGGGGAAGTGAGGAGCGAGCAGCGAGGAGCGAGGAGCGAGGGGGCAGCGAGGAGCGAGGGGCGATGAGCAAGAGCGAGCACAGAGCAGCGAGAACGAGACGGGACAGAGGAGTCAGGATCGCTGAGAGAGGTGCGAGGAGCGAGCAGCGGGCAGCGAGAAAAGAGCAAGAATAGAGCAGGGAGGAGCGAGGGGCAGCGAGAAGAAGCGAGTCAGAAGCGAGTCGGGATCCTCCGACTCCGACTCCGACTCCTCCGTCGACGCTGATGCCCTCTTTGTCTTCGCCCTCCTCCTCCTCCTCCTCCTCCTCCTCCTCCTCCTCCTCCTCCCCCTACTCCTCCTCCTCCTCCTCCTATTCATCCTCATCCTCGTCCTCATCCTCATCCGCATCCTCATCCTCCACCTCATCCTCATCCTCATCCTCATCCTCCTCCACCCTCCTGCTCCCCCATCCACCTCCTCCTTCTCCTCCTCCCTCCTCCTCCTCCTCCTCCTCCTCCTCCTCCCCTCCTCCTCCTCGTCCTCCTCTCCTCTCTCCTCCTCCTCCTCCTCCTCCTCCTCCCTCTCCTCCTCCTCCTCCTCCTCCTCATCATCATCATCATCCTCCTCCTCCTGCTCCTCCTGCTCCTCCTCTCCTCCTCTCCTCCTCCCTCCTCCCTCCTCCTCCTCCCTCCTCCTCCCTCCTCCTCCTCCCTCCTCTCCTCCTCCTCCCTCCTCCTCCCCCTCCTGCTCCCCCATTCACCTCCTTCTTCTCCTCCTCCTTCATGATTGCTACCAATAAATATGGATGATCCTCCCCGTTGCCCATTCTGTCGTTTCGGTTAGAGTGTTTATGCCAGGTCTCGCACCTTGATTCTACAATGGACTATATTGAGCCTCAAATTGTACCCCTGGCCCCTGATTTACCACAACAACGGCTCCCGCCAGATACTTCTCACGGTTGATGCAGAATCGCGCTCTCGCGCGGGAGTTCCCGGAATCGCGATCTCGCGTGGCATTCACCTGCAATGTATTGAAACGCTGCCCTTCGACTCTCAGGAATCGCGCCTTCGGTCTGGACCTCCTCTCAGTGTACTTGGGCATCGCGCTGTCGCTCGAGACTTCCTCGACAGCCGTGTTGGATGAACACTTCAGCGACCCGCCCGCACGACCTGGCCGTCTGGGCCCGCCCGCCCGACCCGCCTGTTTGGGTCCGCCCGCCCGACCCGCCCGTCTGGTTTTGCCGCTTGTACTCGTGCTCCAAGCCTCCTCCTGCGAATCTCCCTCGTGTTCCATGCCTCTCCCTCCCCCTTGTCTCTGCCCCCCTCCCTCCCTTACCCTTTTTGGGCGGCTACGCCAACTACACGTAGCAGGCAAGGCTGATATACCCCAAGGGGGTACGGTCGAAGACAAAGAGGGCGGGCATCGAGGCTTTGGAGTTTACATGCTGAATGACACGCAAGCATATGACGACGAACGGTCGTAAAATGGTTGGTGTCGTTTCTGTTGTTATTGTTGTTGACGAACTCCGCCTCCGCCGTACCGGCTGTCGCGGCATCTCTTCCTCGTCGTCCCTCCCGCTCCTCCTCCTCCTCCTCCTCCTCCTCCTCCTCCTCCTCCTCCTCCTCCTCCCCCTCCTCCTCTTCCTCCTCCTCATTATCCTCCTCCTCCTCCTCCTCCTCCTCCTCCTCCTCCTCCTCCTCCTCCTCCTCCTCCTCCTCCTCATCGTTGTCGTCGTCATCGTCGTCGTCGCCGTCGTCATCATCATCAGCATCATCAGCATCATCATCAGAATCATCATCACCATCATCACCATCAACACCATCATCGACCTCCGTTTCGTGGGCAAGAGAATTGGGGGCTCTTTGGCTCATGTCTGGGAGCGTCTTGGCAGCGTTCGGGGAGTCTGTTCAGTGTCCCCCCTGGGGCCTCCCTGGAGCTTCTGGGGACCTCTTGGAGTGTCATAGGGGCCAGAGGGGGCCCGATCGTTGGGAAGCGATCCGAATTCGAATTCGGGATGCCGCTTTCTGGCCCCTCTTGGAGCCGTCGCGGGTGCTCTTGGACAGGTTTGGAGGCCTCTGGAGCCGTCGTGGAGCCCTCTAGAAATATCTTAGGGAGGCGTCTAGGGGGGCGTGAGGGGGCCGGGTCGCGGGGAAGCGTTCCGAACTTGACTTCGGGATTCCTGTCTTGACCGTTCTTCGGTCCGTCTTGGGGGCCGCTTCGACCGTCTTGGGGGCCTCAGGAGCAAGCTCACAGGGCACGTGGGCCATCTTGGGGTTCTCTTCGAGTCCGCCTGGGCCGCCTCGGGCCGACTTCGGAAGGCTCTCAGGTCGTCTTGGGCGTTGCGGGGCCCGACGAGCGAACACAAGAGAAAGTGTAAAACTACTGCAGAAACTCTGCAGTGGTTCCTTTCTCGCGACTCTCTTGGGGGCCATCTTGGAGCCTGCCCAGGCCGTTTTGGGGGGCATCGTCGGCAGGCTTCTTGGGCGCCCGTGGGCTGCCTAAGAGCTCTGTGGAGGCAATCGAGGGCTATCTCGGGGCCCTCTTGAGCTGTCTGGGGCCTCTCTCGGGCCAGGGCGGCGCCACCCGTCGAGCGGAGCCGCGGAGGGACACGGGCCAGGGGGAATCCAATGGACCCTTCCGGCGCGATACAAGTTGCCCCTTATTGTAGCACGGGTGACGCTGGGCTCCAGCTTCGCCCCCCACATCTCGCTCAGCAGCGCCAGAGCGCGCTCCCACTGATCACCTTTCCCGCACGCGCTGATCCCAGCGCTGTAGCTGAAGCCGTTGGGCTGCAGGCTTGCCTGCCGCATCTCGCCGAGTAGCGCCAGAGCCGACTGCCACTGCCCGCCCTTCTCGCACGCGCTGATCCCGGCGCTGTAACTGAAGACGTTGGGCACCAGCTTCGCTCCCCATATATCACCCAGCAGCGCGAGTGCCCGCTGCCACTGCTCGCCCTTCTCGCACGCGCTGATCCCAGAGCTGTAGCTGAATAGTTAGCGTGCACCCGTGGGAAGATCAATGGCAGGCAGGTCGAAGTGTGGGCCCCGCACGCGCAGATGTTGCAAACTCTGGCACGAGAAGGAGAGAAAAAGAGAGAGAGGACAGCGCGGTACCAGAGCGAGAGGGGGGCGGGGGCTCCCAGAGGCACAGGAGGAAGAGGAGGAGAGAGGGGGAGGAGGAAGAGAGAGGAGAACAGAAGATGAGGGAAGAGGAGAGAAGAGAGGAGGAGAAAAGAGAAGAGAAGACAAGAGAAGACACGAGAAGAGAAGAGAGGAGAAGAGAAGAGAAGAGAAGAGAAGAGAAGAGAAGAGAAGAGAAGAGAAGAGAAAAAAAGGGAAGAGAAGAGAAGAGAAGAGAAGAGAAGAGAAGAGAAGAGAAGAGAAGAGAAGAGAAGAGAGAGAGGAGAGGAGAGGAGAGGATGAGGAGGAAAGGAGAGGAGAGGGGAGGAGAGGAGAGGAAAGGAGAGGAGAGAAGAGAAAAGAAGAGAAGAAAAGATAAGAGAGGAGGAGGGGGAGCAGGAGAGGAGACGAGAGGAGAGGAGAGGGGAGGAGAGGAGAGGAGAGAACAGAAGAGAAGAGAAGACGGGGGAGGTGGAGGAGGAGGAGGAGGAGCAGGAGAAGGAGGAGGAGGAGAGGAGATGAGAGGAGAAAAGAGGAGATAAGAGAAGAGAAAAACGAAAGAAGAGAGGAGGAGAGGAGAGGAGAGAAGAGAGGAGAAGAGAAGAGAGGAGGAAGAGAAGAGAAAAGAAGAGAAGGGAAAAAGAAGAGAAGAGAGGAGAGGAGGGAGGAAAGAAGAGGAGAGAAGATGAGAGGAGAGGAGAGGAGAAAAATAAAATTAAAAAAAAAGAAACTAAGAGAAGAGATGAGGGGGAGGTGAGGAGAGGAGAGGACAGAAGAAGAGAGAAAAGAAATGAGAAGAAAAGAGAGGAGACGGAGAGGAGAGGAGAAAAGAAGAGAAGAGAAGAGAGGAGAAGAGAAGAGAAGAAAAGACAAGAGATGAGAAGAGAAGAGAAGAGAAGAGAAGAGAAGAGAGGAGGAGGAGAGGAGAGAAGAGAAGAGAAGAAGGGAGGAGGAGGAGGAAGAGAGAAGAGAAGAGAAGAGAAGAGAAGAGAAGAGAAGAGAAGAGAAGAGAAGAGAAGAGAAGAGAAGAGAAGAGAAGAGAAGAGAAGAGAAGAGATGAGAGGAGAGGAGAGGAGAAGAGAAGAGAAGAGAAGAGAAATGAGGAGAAGGTGTAGAGGAGAGGAGAGAAGAGAAGAGGAGAGAAGAGAGGTGAGAAGGAGAAAGAGAGGAGACAAGAGGAGAGGAGAGAACAGAAGAGAAGAGAGGAGGAGGAGGAGGAGGAGGAGAACAGACGAGATGAACCGAGACGAGAAAAGAGAGAAGGAGGGAAGAGACGGGAAGGGAAGAGAAGAAAAAAACAAGCATTGCGGAGAATATATATATATATATATATAATATGCAACCGCAAAAAAATGATAATCGAAAATCCGCCGGCACCCTTGTGGGGCCACCGGGCTGCGAGGCACGGGTTCGCAGTTTCCAGTACCAGTTGTAGCTTGTAGTTTCCAGTGTTACAGTTCTGCTTAGTGCTGGTTACTGTAACTAGTTAACTTTTTGCTGGTTACTGTAACTAGTTGATTGACCGCGCGAGGGGGGGGGAGGCCCAAACGGGATTTTTAGCGTCTCCTGGGCGCGTTGTCTGAATTGCTGGGGGGGCTCGAAATCGACACCCCTCACGCAGATCCGCGGGGTCAGGGTCCAAAAACACATGGGATTTGCCACATTTCTGAAATTCGGTGCCACCCCTCACGCAGATCCGCGGGGTCAGGGTCCAAAAACACATGGGATTTGCCACATTTCTGAAATTCGGTGCCACCCCTCACGCAGATCCGCGGGGTCAGGGTCCAAAAACACATGGGATTTGCCACATTTCTGAAATTCGGTGCCACCCCTCACGCAGATCCGCGGGGTCAGGGTCCAAAAACACATGGGATTTGCCACATTTCTGAAATTCGGTGCCACCCCTCACGCAGATCCGCGGGGTCAGGGTCCAAAAACACATGGGATTTGCCACATTTCTGAAATTCGGTGCCACCCCTCACGCAGATCCGCGGGGTCAGGGTCCAAAAACACAGGGGATTTGCCACATTTCTGAAATTCGGTGCCACCCCTCACGCAGATCCGCGGGGTCAGGGTCCAAAAACAAAGGGGATTTGCCACATTTCTGAAATTCGGTGCCACCCCTTACGCAGATCCGCGGGGTCAGGGTCCAAAAACACAGGGGATTTGCCACATTTCTGAAATTCGGTGCCACCCTTCACGCACATCCATCGCAAGGCGTGGTAACCCAAACTGCGAGAACTCCCTCGGCCCTTTAATCGCAAGGTGTGGTAACCAAGCCCGTAAACCATACACGTCTTACCAATCGCCAGGTGTGGTAACCCCTCTTGTGATCAGTTGGTTTTGCTGATTGCGAATCGGCTTCGCATGAAGTTTCGATACTGCTTCACGACAGCGCCAAGACCTCATGACTTAGCTCTTCCATGGCCCATTCTCCGAGAGAGGGGGCCGGCGGCAGGGGGCGAAGCCCTTACGGATAATAGAAGAGACGAGAAGCGAAGAGACGAGAAAAGAATTAACGAGACGAGAAGGGAGGAGAAGAGACGAGAAGAGAAGAGAAGAGAAGAGAAGAGAAGAGAAGAGAAGAGAAGAGAAGAGAAGAGAAGAGAAGAGAAGAGAAGGGAAGAGAAGACAAGAGAGGAGATAAGCAGATAAGCAGATAACAGACGAGAAGAGAAGGGGACAGAAGAGAAGGTAAAAGCAGATAGAGGAAGAGACGAAAAGAGAAGAGACGATACGATAGTATAGACGGGAAGGGAAGAGGAGAGACGAGACGAGAAGAGAATAGGAGAGAAGAGGAGAGATAATAACACAAGAGGAAACAAGAAGAAGAGAAGAGAAGCGAAGAGAAGAGAGGAAAAGTGACGATACGAGAAGAAAAGGAAATATAGGAGAAGGAAAGAGAAGAGAACTTGACCTAATATATGAGAAGAGATGAAAGAAGAGAAAAAGTGAAGAAAAGAGAAGAGATGATAAGAGAAGCGAAAAGGAGAGAAGAGAAGAGAAGAAAAGAGAAGAGAAGAGAAGAGACGCGAAGAGAAGATAATAGAAGAGAAGAGAAGAGAAGAGACGAGACATGAGACAATAAGAGAAGAGAAAAGAAGAGAAGGAATGAGAAATGAAGGGGAGAGAAGGGAATAGAAGAGAAGAGAAGATAAGAGAAGAGAAGAGAAGAGAAAGGAAGAGAACAGACGAGATGAGAAGATAAGAGGGGAACAGAAAAGAGAAGGGAAGAGGGAGAGCGGCTTTCTGGGGCGTTCTTTGGGTTCGGGGGGTTTGTTTGGGGCTTCGTGTGATCCGGAAATGGAACAAGGTGCTGGGGCTTGAGGCTCTCTTGGGAGTTCCTTGGCAACTATGAAAATCTCTTTGGGGGCTGTCGGGTATATAGGAGTGGTCTGGGGCCTTTAACTGGTCTGGTACTCCCTTTGGGGCTTCTGACATATAGTAACAGCCAAATGTGCTGGGGCTGGAGGGTTCCTTGGGGGCTCCTTGGCAAATGTCGGGGTCTTTTACGAAGCTGCAGAGCATCCCGGAGCGGTCCTTCTTGGACAGCTCTTGGGGCCCTCTTGGGCCGTTTTCGTGCCCGCATGGATCATCTGGCACGTCAGAAACAACAGAAAGTGCTGCAGCTGGAGGCTCCCTTGGGAGCTCCTTGACAGCTGTCGGAGTCTTGGGAGGCTCTAGAGCACCTCGGAGTAGTCCTTCTTGAACAGCTCTTGGAGCCCTCCTGAACAGTTGGAACCCTGTTGGGCCATTTGGGGGCCCTCTTGGTCCGTCTCGGGGGCCTGCTGGGCCGTCTTGGGGGCCGTCTGGGAGCCTTCCTTGGGCCCTCTTGGGCAGGTCCTGGGGCCTGTTTAGGGCTATCTGGGGGGGACACTTGAGGCTCTGTTACGTACACTCTACGACGCCTGATCTGAGCCGTCTTGGGGACCCCTTGAGCCGTCTTGGTTCGCTCGTCTTTGCCTCTTGGGCCATCTTGGGGCGATCTGGGAAGGACATGGAGCCGCGTGGGGCTGGTCTGGGCCCGTCATGGGGAGAATGCGGGAGACCTTGGAAACACACATGGTTGTTGCTTGGTGTTTCGCCTCGTGGGGCCGTCATCGGGGTTCTCGTGGGCTGTCTGTGGGGCATCCTTGCGAGTCTTCGGGCCTTGTTGGGCTGCCATGGGGCTCGCTTCGGGACCTCTTGGGTTATGTTGTTCTCGTCGTACGTGAGGACTACATCCCAGAAACAATGTCGGGTACCCAGAAAAACATCGGAACAGCGTCGAACGAGTATCACTTCCCAGGGCCCCACGCGTGAAAACCCTCAGGTGTTGGTGTTTTCTTGGTGCTCGAAGTTATCTCTGGTGATCAGAGTGAAAGCACGCTGGAACATCATAGCTCTTGGGCCGCCCCACCGCCCTCGCGAGAGCGGCCGAAGTGGCCTGGGGGTCGGCTCTGGGGCTGGCCTTGGGGCCGCCGGAGGAGCCGCTGGAGCCGGCGAGAAACGCCCGGAGACAAGCTCGCCATCGATCGGACGTCCATTCCCTGTGTTTTTTCGGTTTCGTGCGTGGGTTTTTCGTCAAATGATCAAGGATGCTCCTCGATGGTCCTCGCCGAAGGAAAAATGCACACGTCCGAGCGATGCCCAGCAAGCGCGAGGATCTCGCGGCGCTCGCCCCTTTTGGCGGCGCCTCGCCCAGGGTTGGTAGCAGAGATGACGTCGGGCTCCAGCGTCGCCTCCCGCATCGCGCCGAGCAGCGCCAGAGCCCGCTGCCACTGCGCACCCTGCTCGCACGCGCTGATGCCGGCATTGTAGCTGATGGAAAATCAATGTTTTTGGCCCCCTAAAGCCCGTGTCGAAATCGTCAAGAGAGCCTCTGGGGCCACTCGCGCCCTTCAGGGGCCCTGGGGGGCCGTTTCGGGGCTCGCTCGGGGCTCTCGTGGATCCGTCACGAGCGGGCGCGGGCCGTTCGGGGAGCGCTGGCGACGGACCAAGACCGTTCCGGGGGCGCCGGCGACGGACCAGGGCCCCAGGAACGCCGGGGGCCAGGCCGAGTCCACTCGAGGGGCCTTCGCACGCACTGATCCCGGTATTGTAGAGAAGACTAGGGCGAACACGTGGACTTCGTCCACGTCATTTTTGGGCCAGTCTTGGCTCGAAGAGGCCGTCTTGGGCCTGTCTTTGCTCGAAATGGCGAGAAGGTGGAGATCTTTCAGAAACCATAGAAGAATCGATGATTTCGTTTGCCGCGGCTGGTCTGGAGCGTCTTCGAGCAGTCTTCGGCCGTCTCGGAGGCCCTCTTGGACCGCTTCCTTCTCTTCGTCCGCCTTCTGCTCTACCTCCGCCTAGACAGCTTCGGAGCGTCACAGACAGCTATGTTTGGTCTGCGGTGTACGTCTCGCCGCTTGTCAATTTTGAAAGCACCTGGGGCCTTGAAAAAAGTCACCCGGAGGGCTTTGGTGACTTTTTTCCGGTTGCCTCTTCGAAACCTGATGGCGGGCGCTGCCGTCGCCTTGGGGACGGTTAGTGGACCTCTCGGGGTTTCTTTTCGAGCTCCTGGGGGCCTGTTGGGGCCTCGTTGGCTGTCTTGCGGCCTCATAGGGCCCTCTTGGGCCCTCTTGGGCCGTCTTGCGGCCTCCTGGGGGCCTGTTCTCTTGAAGCTTTTTGGGGCGCCTCTGGGGCCGCTCCCGGGCTGTCCCCCCGAGCCTCTTCCGGGGGACAGCCCAGGAAATCTATTGTGCTGGCGTGCTGTGCGTGCGTGCTCCTGTGAGAGACGTCGGAAGGGTGTCTCGACGTCACCGCTCGCCCTTGGGAGCTGTGCCTGGGAGAGCTCTCTACGCTGCGTCTCGCTCTTGGGAGCCTTGGTGAGAAGAGCTTTGTACTTCACCGATCGCTCTTTTAGTGGGCATCTCTGGGCCTGCTTGGTAGTTCGCGTGGGGGTCTTTTTCGGGCCATTCTGAAGCTTTTTGGGGCTGCTCCGGGAGCGTTTTGGGACGTTTTTGGGCCTTTTGGGGGGCCGTGACGGGGCGTCCGTCCGGGAGGCCTTGGACCGTCTTGGAGCTCTCTTGAGGCTGCCTGAGGCCGTCTTGGGAGCCTCTTGGGGCCCCCTCTGAGCTCTCTTGGGGCCGTCTTGGGGTTCTGTGAGGCCGTTTCAGGGCTCTCTGGCGTCGTCTTGGGGCTCTTGTGGGCCGTCTTGGAGCCCTCTTAGGGGCCGCTGGCGTCTTCTTGGGGCGATTTGGGAGGCCTCTTGGCGTGTCCTGGGCTGCTGAGGAGCACACAAGGCGGGCATGCTGAAAATATACGTTTTCCCATCGGAATTTGACGCTTTGTGCCTCTTTGGCGTGCGCTCGGGGCCCTCTTGGGGCGTCTTTGCGGCCTCTTGGATCGTCGTGGAGCCCCCCCGGAAGGCTTCGGGCCCTCGTGGGCCGTCTCGGGACCCACTGAGGCCGTCTTGGAGCGCTCTTGGACGGTCTGGGAACCCCTCTGGAGCGCCTCTGGGACCGGCCTGAGCGATTCGGCCCCGTGGTGGCGCCGTAAAGGGGCGATTTCGTGCAGACGAGGCCCTGAGACTTTCTCGCACGCGCTTCCACTGGCCATGTAGGAGAGACTAGGGCTGCTAGGGCTGACCTGCGGACTCCCGTCCACGGTTGCCACAGCATTGAAGGGGTGCCTGCCGTTTTTGGGGGGCTCCAGGGCGAGCTGGGTATTCGCTGGTTCTGTCGGCGCCCAGGGCAGCGCTTGCAGTAGCAGCAGCAGCGGGCACAGCACTAGCAGGAGCAGCAGCAGGAGCAGCTTCCGCAGCATCGGCAGCAGCGCGGCCCCTCGCCTGCAGCGGCAGCAGCAGCAGCGGGTGCAGCAGCATCGGCGATAGCAGCACTATGGTCGTGGATGCTACGACAATGGACACCCTGACAGTCCTATCATTGAAATTTCAATGTGTTAAAATATGTTTAAACATGTTATCACATGCTTTAAAACATGTGTTCACATGCTTTGGAACGTGTTAAACATGTTTTAACCATGTGCGTCACATACTTAAATCATGTTTAACACATGTTTTAGACATCTGGGATTTGTTTGGCAACATGCTTCCTCTCCACTGATCGTCCTCCATAACAGTATGGCCGAAGAGGGACACGGAGTCTGATTGAAAAAAGCATACCCCACACCTCCTGGGACACGCGCCGTGCGAGAGGGGTTGCAAAAAAAGAGCCCTGGGCGTTTGGCGGCTCGTGTGCTAAGCTGATTGTGGAACCCCTCCCGCGCGAGACGCGCCCCAAGAGGTGTGGAGTATGTGCTCTTCCAATCAGGAGGGCCGTCCGCGTAGCAATCTGCGGTAGAGCCCTGGGGGGGGTCCTGAAGGCTATGGTCAGGGGGAAGGAGGAAAAGGGGCCTAAGTGGAAGATGGCCATACCCCACACCTCCTGGGACACGCGCCGTGCGAGAGGGGTTGCTTAAACAAACAATCCTGGGCGACTGGCGACTCGTATCCTAGAAAGCTTGTGGAACCCCTCCCGCGCGAGACGCGTCCCGAGAGGTGTGGGGTATAGTTTTTTTCCAATTAGGAGAGCCGTCATCGAAGTAGCAATCTGCGGTAGAGCCCCAGTGGGGGGGGGTCCTGACGGCTTCCACGGTCAGGGGGAAAAGAGAAAGGGGCCCGAAGTGTAAAAAACATACCCCACACCACCTGGGACACGCGCCGTGAGAGAGGGGTTGCTGAAAAAGCAATCCTGGGCGATTGGCGACTCGTATGCTAAGCTGTTTGTGGAACCCCTCCCGCGCGAGACGCGTCCCAAGAGGTGTGGGGTATTGTTTTTTCCAATCAGGAGGGCCGTCCACGTAGCAATCTGCGGTAGAGCCCCGGGGGGGAGATCCTGGAGGCTTGCATGGTCAGGGCTCCCAACTGGAAGAAAACCATACCCCCCACCTCCTGGGACACGCGCCGTGCGAGAGGGGTTGCTTAAACAAACAATCCTGGGCGATTGGCGACTCGTATCCTAGAAAGCTTGTGGAACCCCTCCCGCGCGAGACGCGTCCCGAGAGGTGTGGGGTATAGTTTTTTCCAATTAGGAGAGCCGTCATCGAAGTAGCAATCTGCGGTAGAGCCCCAGTGGGAGGGGGGGGGGTCCTGACGGCTTCCACGGTCAGGGGGAAAAGAGAAAGGGGCCCTAAGTGTAAAAAACATACCCCACACCACCTGGGACACGCGCCGTGAGAGAGGGGTTGCTGAAAAAGCAATCCTGGGCGATTGGCGACTCGTATGCTAAGCTGTTTGTGGAACCCCTCCCGCGCGAGACGCGTCCCAAGAGGTGTGGGGTATTGTTTTTTCCAATCAGGAGGGCCGTCCACGTAGCATCTGCGGTAGAGCCCCGGGGGGGAGATCCTGGAGGCTTGCATGGTCAGGGCTCCCAACTGGAAGAAAACCATACCCCACACCTCCTGGGACACGCGCCGTGCGAGAGGGGTTGCTTAAACAAACAATCCTGGGCGATTGGCGACTCGTATCCTAGAAAGCTTGTGGAACCCCTCCCGCGCGAGACGCGTCCCGAGAGGTGTGGGGTATAGTTTTTTCCAATTAGGAGAGCCGTCATCGAAGTAGCAATCTGCGGTAGAGCCCCAGTGGGAGGGGGGGGGTCCTGACGGCTTCCACGGTCAGGGGGAAAAGAGAAAGGGGCCCTAAGTGTAAAAAACATACCCCACACCACCTGGGACACGCGCCGTGAGAGAGGGGTTGCTGAAAAAGCAATCCTGGGCGATTGGCGACTCGTATGCTAAGCTGTTTGTGGAACCCCTCCCGCGCGAGACGCGTCCCAAGAGGTGTGGGGTATTGTTTTTTCCAATCAGGAGGGCCGTCCACGTAGCAATCTGCGGTAGAGCCCTGGGGGGGAGGTCCTGGAGGCTTGCATGGTCAGGGGGGAGAAGGAAAAGGAGGCCCAACTGGAAGAAAACCATACCCCACTCCTCCTGGGACACGCGCCGTGAGAGAGGGGTTGCTGAAAAAAACAATCCTGGGCGTTTGGCGTCTCGTATGCTAAGCTGTTTGTGCAACCCCTCCCGCGCGAGACGCGTCCCAAGAGGTGCGGGGTATGTTTTTTTTTCCATCAGACGGCCGTCCTCGAAGTGGCGATCTGCGGTAGAGCCCCGGGGGGGGGTCCTGACGGCTTCCACGGTCAGCGGGGAGAAGGAAAAAGAGGCCCAACTGGAAGAAAAGCATACCCCACACCTCCTGGGACACGCGCCGTGCGAGAGCGGTTGCTGAAAAAATAATCCTGGGCGTTTGGCGACTCGAACCCCTCCTGCGCGAGACGCGTCCCAAGAGGTGTGGGGGGTATGGTTTATTCCCACATGGGAAAAAAGGGGGGGCGTCCATGTTTTGCCGTGTTTTGGGAGCCTTGGGAGCCTCCAGAGGCCTTTGGGCCTCATCTGGGGCTGTCTCGGAGGCTTCCTGGGAGGCCGCGGGAGCCGCGTCGGGCCCATGTCGGTGACATCCGGAGCCGCATTGGGCTCGATGAGGCCAGAAGAGCTCTGGAGTTTGCCCTTTGGGGCCCCCCACGGGGGCCGTCTCGAGGGTCTCTTGGCTCGTCCTGGGAGCCTCTGGAGCGGTCTTGAGGGCCTTTGGGAACTTGCTGAGGGCTCTTTTGAGAGCCGCCGGGGCCGCGCTGGGCCCAAGGCGGAGGCCTGCGGTGGCGCATGTGGCGTCATGGCTCCGCCGGAGCGAGCACGCAAGAGAAATCACCGAAACACGCCACGAATCTCGATCGCTTCGCGTCCTCACGGCCCTCCTGGAGGCTCTCGTGCAGCTGGGTGGGGTCCCTCGGATCGCGCTCGCTTGGGCTTTTTCTGGGGCTCTCTGGGGGCTCCCCGGGGGCCCTCTCTGGGCTCTCGGAGGGCCCCCAGGGCGCGGTCGCCACGAGCGGAGCCGCCGAGGCGCCGCGCCCGCGGGCCTGGCGAGGGAGTACCTACAGGCCCCACCGGCACGCAGGATTGCAAAAAAAACCCTTGAACGAAGGATTGATTGCAAAAAAACCCTTCGTTTTTTTGCAATCCTTCGTTTTTGTTGCAATCCTTCGTTTTTTTGCAATCCTTCGTTGCCCGGTATTGTATTTCGGAAGACGTTGGGCTCCAGCTTCGCCTCCCGCATCTCGTCGAGCAGCGCCAGGGCCTGCTGCCACCGATCGCCCTTCCCACACGCACGAATGCCAGCATTGCAGCTGAGCACGTCCAGCTGCAGCTTCGCCTCCAGGATCTGGCCGAGCAGCGCCAGAGCCCGCTGCCACTGGCCGTCAGTCTCGCACGCGCGGATCCCAGCGCTGTAGCTGATGACGCTGGGCTGCAGCTTTGCCTCCCGCATCTCGTTGAGTAGCGCCGAGGCGCGCTGCCACTGATCGCCCTTCCCACACGCGCTGATCCCAGCACTGTAGCCGACTAGTGCGAACTCGTGAAGTAAATCCACATTGTGCTGAATCTGGACTCGCACACCGTGGGTGAACAGCTCGTCGAAGTTGAACAGCATGGGTATCGCTGGGACCAAGGGACATGTTGGGCCCTGGGGCTCTGAAGGGCTCTGTGGGGTCTCTCGTGGGGCCTTCTTGGAGGGGAGGAGGAGGAGGAGGAGGAGGAGGAGGAGGAGGAGGAGGAGGAGGACGAGGACGAGGACGAGGACGAGGACGAGGACGAGGACGAGGACGACGAAGAGAAGGATTTTCGTGCCGTCTTCGGGCGCCCTGAGGTCGTCTGGGGAGCCCCTTGGACCGTCGAACAAATTCCCAGGAAGTCTCTCGGGCAGTGCTGGCGCGATGCAGGAAGCGCTCGGGGCCGTCTGGGGCCGTTCTCGAAGCGAATTGGCGAGAACCCGAAAATCCGCTTAAAGACCGTAGGGGATAGGGGAAACCTGCGATCTGCGCCTCGTAGGGCAAGCATCGTGGGGGGGGGCATCCTGGCGTCTTGGGGCCGTCTTGGAGCATGTTTGGGGGCTCAGTTCGGGTCCTCTTCTTCTTGAGGCGCAGGAGATGGGAGCGGACCGCGATAGTATACACAACTCGCCTCACCAAGCGTGCTGGCAGCTATCATGATCGTCGCCAGGCAGGGTGCCCTCCAAGCGATCTCTGGAGCGTCTCTGAGCCGTCGTTGGACGTCTTGGAGCCTTCTGTCGGCCGCCCAGGGCCGTCCAGTGGACCGCCCAAGGAGCGCCCGAGGAGCGCCAGGAGCCGCCCGCGGCCGAGCTACGGCAGCGCCATCTCGGACGCACTGATTCGAGCATTGTGATAGACGAAGGAAAAACGCCACAAACATAAACTTTTTGGCGTTCCGCGCGGATTTCTTGGATCTTCGCTGGACCCCCCTCCCTGGCGCGCGGAGCGCGCCAAGGGCGGCGCCGGAGGCGCCGCCGAGGGGGCCCGGCGCGGATCCAAGAAATCCGCGCGGAGCGCCAAAAAGTCTATGTTCATGTCGTTTTTCCTTTTTCGATTTAATTTAGATGTCGTCGGGCTGCAGCTTTGCTTCCCACATCTCGCTGAGCAGCGCCAATGCCCGCTGCCACTGCTCGCCCTTCTCGCACGCGCTGATCCCGGCATTGTAGCTGACTAGGGCAGACCTGTGGACTCCGTCCACGACATCAGCTCGACGTGGCCAGTTGAAGGCGCTCTCCACACCCTCCAGGACCTCCTGCTCTCCTGTGTTCCTCAGCTGCTGCTGCTGCTCGGAGGTCCTGCTGCTTCCTCCCCCTCCTCCCCCTCCTTCTCCGCCTCCTCCTCCTCCTCCTCCTCTTCCACCTTCTTCTCCTCTTTCGCTGGATTCTCCATGCCCTCGGTCGGCAATCGTCGATCCTACGACGACTCTCCCCAACAGAGAAACATCGAAGGCCCTCGGAGCGTCCAACATTGTTCTTTTGTGCCTTCGATATGCCGGTCGCCTCTCGTCCGCTCCCCCCCTCCTGGAAGCAATTCTGAGGCCACGTAGGGCTTCGTGGGGGCCGTTTGGGGATCTCTTGGGGCGTTTTTGCCTGCGATATGCCTGTCGCCTCTCGTCCGCTCCCCCGCTCCTGGAGGGAATTCTGAAGCCACTGAAGGCTTCGTGGGGGCCGTTTCGGAGCCTCTTCGGCATTCTTTTGGGCCTCCCGGGGGGGTCTTAGGGCCCTCTCGGGCCGTCTTGGGTGCCTCTTGGGCCGTCTTGGGGCCGTCTGAGGCCCGCCTCGGCGCCTCTTGGGCTGTCTTGGGCCGTCTTGGGCCGCTCCTGGGGCCGTCTTGGGTGCCTCTTGGGCCGTCTGCGGCGCCTCCTGGGCCGTCCTGGGGCCGTCCTAGGGAGTCTTGGGACCGTCTTGGGGCCCTCCTGGCCCGTCTTGAGGCTCTCTTGGGGTCCTCTTCGGCCGTCTTGGAGCGGTCGGGGGGACTTCTTGGGCCGTCTTGGAGCGTCGGGAAGCCGAAGAGGCGAGGAGGCCGAAAACATCGAGAAACACAATAGAAATCAACGATTTCTGTCGCTCGGGGCCCTCTTGGGAGGCCTCTTGGGAGGCCTCTTCGGGCGTCTTGGACGCCTCTTAGGCCGTCTGGGGCGACTCTCGGGCGTCTTGGGCCCGTCTTTGAGCGTGCCGGGGCTCTCCGGGGCCGTCTTGGGGGCTTCTGGGGGCCCTCTCGACATGTCCTGGAGCCTGCCTGGGCCTCCCTGGGCGGCCCGGGGCCAGCCCGGGGCGGTTTCGGTGCATTGGGGCCTGCGCCCTTCTGGCACGCTCTGGGCCCTGCAATGTAGTAGAGACTAGGGCTGACCCGTGGACTCTGTCCACGACATCTTTCTGGAATGGTTCTCGGAGGAACGGCGCAGATTGCACCGAAAATCTACAAACACGGCGGCGGCTAGGGCGGCGGCAGCGAGACCGCGCCTTCGTGTCCGAGCTCTTGCAGCGCTCCAGCAGCTTGGCCCAGCGCACTGCTCGTTCACCCCCCTCCTATTGAGGACAGTTTTGAAGTCTCTCGGGGATGTGCGTCGAAGTCGAAGCCCATCTGAGGCGTCTCAGGAGCGCTTGGGGAAGGGCTCGGGAGACCATCGGGGAAAGCCACTGAAAGCGCCGGGGAGGCTCGCAAGGATCTACAGGGAGGGCCCAAGAGAGCTTCAAGATAATTCGAAATTCTGTAAAACATTTAGAGAAACCGCTGTTGGGTAGGCCATCACCTCCGGGCGCGCCTTGATGGTGCGTTCCAGTCACATCACCGCCAACGGGAGGGTTTGTTCGCCATGTCCCATTCTGTTCGCCCAGAGGGTCTGTGGAGGCCTTCGGGCGAACAGAACGGGACAGGGCAAGGAATGGGGAAGACTTGTCCGAATCTCCTGGGCCCCCCAGGTGCTCGTCCGAAGAATGCGGAGAGGTCCCAGGGTCATATCAATTGGCTGCTGTCCCAGGGGTCCGGTCTGCTTGGCCCGAAGAGTTTGCCAAGGCCCCTGGGGGAACAGAATGGCACAGCATATCGGGCAAAGGGGGGCGGTAGCTGGCCTGTCAGACCCGGCGTTCGTCTTCTGCCCAAGCGGCGCGGGGCCCACGGGCCCCAGGGTTGGCGGCCCGCTGGGTTTCCTCTTGTTCGCCCACAGGGTTGGAGGAGGCCTCCAGGCGAACAGAATAGGGCAGGACAATGAATGTGGGAGACTTGTCGCAAGCTCCCAGCCCCCCCAAGTGTGCGCCCGAAGGGTGTGGGGCCGCGTTGGCTCCCTCAAAGGGCCGTCTTGGAGCCGTCCATGCCCGTCTTGAGGGCGCCGTTTGCCGTGATGGGGCCGTCTTGGTTCGTCGTGGGCCCCTCATGGGCGCGTCCGTAGGCCGTCCTGGGCCCATCGGGGGTCCTCGTGGGGCTGTCTTGGAGCCGTCTGGGACCGTGAGGGGGCCGCCTTGGAGTCGTCTTGGGCCCCTCCTGTGCGCCTCCTTGGGCCGTCCTGGGCCCAGCAGGGGCCGTATTGGCACCCTCTTGGGGCTGTCTTGGAGCCGTCTTGAGCCGTCGCAGCGCGCCTTGGGTTGTGCTGGGTCCGTCTTGGCCCGTCTTGGGGCCTTCCTGGGCGTTTCCTCGGACCCTCCTGGGACTTTCTGGGGCCTCTTGGTGCATCGGACCGCCGAAACGGCGGGAAACGCAAAGGGTGTCACAGTAAACAATGGAAAATTAACGATTTTTGCCAGCTGGGGCTCTCTTGCCATCTTGGCCCGTCTTGAGGCCCCGACAAGGTGCGTCCTTGGGCCGTCCTGGGCGCACCCTCCTGGGACCGTCTTGGAATCGTCTTGGGCCGTCTTGAGCGCGCCTTGGGCCGTCCTGGGCCCGTCTGGGGCCGTGTTGGCACCCTCGCGGCGAGGAAGCTCGGAGGCGGGCTCGAGGCCTCTTTGGGGCCATTTTGGAAGCTGTTGGGGCCTCTGTTAGGGGCCTCGTTTTGGGCTCCTTGGGAGCTTCCTGGGGCCTGTTCGGGGGATTCTTGGCGGCCCCTCTTGGGGCGGAAGGCTCGGAGTTTCGGTCCGTGGTCCTTCTCTTGTTCCCCTCTTGGGCCTGTCTTCGGGCCCTCGTGGGCCGTCTTGAGCGTCTCTTGGGTCGTCTTGGGGCCCTCTTGGGCTGTCTTGGGGCGCTGTTAGAAACCTCTTGGGCCGTTCTGGGGCGCTCTTGGAGGCCTCTTGGGCCGTCTTCGAGCGTCGGAAAGCGGAAAAGGCGAGAAGGCCAAAATCCTTCCAAAACCGTCGTAAAGAGGATGATGTTGAGGCCCAAAACCGTCCAAAACCTCCTGAGGCGGTCCCCTCGTCCGCCCCCCTCGCTTCGAAGCAGTTTTTCAGCCCCGTGGCACCTCTTGGGGACCTCTTTTGGGCTCCTGGGGGCCTCTTGGGCCTCTCTGGGCTCGTCTATCGCGCCCCTTGGGCTGTCTTGGGGCCCCCTGGGGCCTTCTTGGGCGGTCCTCGGGCCGCCTGGGAGCCATCTTGGGCCGCTCTTCGGGCCATCTTGGGGTCCCGTTGGCCTGTCTCGGGCGCCTCTGGGGGCGGTCCGCCGTCCGGGGGCCGTCTTGGGGCCCTCTTGGACCGTCTCGGGGTCCTCTTGGGGACCTCGTCGACCGTCTTGGAGCGGTCTTGGATGCCTCTGGGGGGGGTTCGGAGCGTCGGGAAGCCGAAAAAGCGAGGAAGCAAAAAACCTCGGGGAAACGAATGAAAATCAACGATTTTGGCCTCTCGGCCTCTCCCGGGATGCCTCTTGGGAGGCCTATTGGGCCGTCTTGGCGACCTCTGGGCGGTCCTCGGGCCGTTTTGGAGCCATATTGGGCCGCTCTTCCTTCCATCTTGGGGTCCCGGTGGCCTGTCTTGGGTGCCTCTGGGGCCGTCCTGGGGCCGCCTTGGACCGTTTTGGGGCCCTCTTGGATCGTCTTGGGGTCCTCTTGGGGACCTCGTCGACCGTCTTGGAGCGGTCTTGGATGCCTCTGGGAGGGTTTCGGAGCGTCGGGAAGCCGAAGAAGCGAGGAAGCAAAAATCCTCGGGGAAAACCAATGAAAATCAACGATTTTGGCCTCTCGGGCCTTTCCTGGGATGCCTCTTGGGAAGCCTATTGGGCCGTCTTGGGGAGCTCTTGGGCCGTCTTGGGCCAATCTCGGGCGTCTTGGCCAGATCATTGCGCGTCTCGGGGCCCTCTTCGGCCGCCTTCGGGGCATCTTGAACGGCTCGGAGCCGTCTTTGGGCCGTCGGGGCGGCCTCCGGAGCGTCTCGGAGCCGTTTCTAGTCATTTGGCTGGATTTCCTTCCGGCGCGCGCTTCCTCCGGCCACATAGTATAGACTAGTGTGTACCCGTGGGGTGGATCACCACCATCGAAGCACAGGGGGCACTGCCTGCAAGGCAGGGTCCAACAACCTGTCACGAAAAAGGGTCTTGCTTGTGACAGGTTGTTGACTACTCTTGGAGCCTTTTGAAGCTTTCCGTGGCCGTCGTCGTTGTCGCCGCCGTCGTCATCGTCGCCGGAGCCGGCATCGACGACGACGACGACGACGACGATGACGACGACGACGACGACGACGACGACGACGACGACGACGACGACGACGACGACGACGACGACGACCTTCTCGCTGAAGGAAAACTTGGGGCTCGCAGGCCCAAGAGGGCCGTTCGGAGCAGGCAGCTGGCAGGATCCGTTGTGTTTTCGGTGGCCCTAAGCGGCCCTACGGCCAGAGGAAAAACGGGGGGGCGGCCCGCCGACGACGACGACGACGACGACGACGACGACGACGATGACGACGACGACGACGACGACGACGGCTCCTGGAGTGGCTGTGCGCCGCGTCGCCCATGGTGAAAGAGGCAGGTGGAAGCACCGGTCGATGACAAAGCTCACGACCGAATCCGCAACCTCCGGTGGGGAGGTCAGGCATTCAGGTGTGGCCCGTCTTGGCGGCGCTCCCCTGGCTCACTTGGGGCTCGCTGGGTAGCCTCTTGAAGAGTCCTTTTGGAGCTCTTTGGGGCCGTCTCAGCGCTCTCTGGGGCCATCCTGTGGCCCTCTTGGGTCGTCTTGGAGGGCTCGGGCTGTCTTGGGGCCCTCGTGCTGCCGTCTGGGGCTCCCTTGGGAGCCTCCTGTGGCCCTCTCGGGGCTTTCCTGGGAGCGTTTTGGAGCCCTCCGGGGTCCGTCTTGGGCCGTCCTGGAGCTCCCTGGGGCCGTCTTGGGGCTCTCTTGGGCCGTCTGGGCGTGCTCTTGGGTGCCTCTGGGGCAGTGTTGGCGCTGTTTTGGAGGCTCATCCGGCCTTCTTGGACGCTCTGCCGACCCAGAACGCGACTCTGGCAAAAATATACGTTTTCCGAAAGGAATGGGGCGATTTTCGTTTCGTGGGGGTCCTTTCGGAAGCCTCAGGGGGCGGCTTCGGAGCGTCTGGGGCCATCCTGGAGCCGTCTGCGGGGCGTGCCGCGTCGATCTGGAGCGGTCTAGGGCCGTCCGCTGCGCGATCGGGGCCGCTCCGAAGGCTCCGCGGCGGCCCCGGGGGCTGCCTGGGGCGGCCCGGAGCGCCGAAGGGCTTGCTGGGAGCGGCCCGGAGGAGGCCGGTCGGAGGAGGCCGGTCCGATGCCACCGAAAGCTTTGCCACACGCGCTGAACGCTGCATTGTAGGAGAGACTAGGGCTGACCCGCGGCCTTCTGGCCGCGGAATCTGCCCGCCATGGCGTGGACGTGGAAGTGGAGCGTCTCCGGGACCTCGTAGGCGAGGGAAGGTTGAAGGGGACGGCGTGGATGGAGGAGGTGGCCGCTGGAGGGGGAGGTGGGCGAGGGATGCAGGCAAGCAGGCCTGAAGACAGGAACGCGATGGTAGAGGCCATGTCAGTGGAAGCACACCCATGCAGGCATGACATGGTGTGGACAGAAGCTGTTTCTCACGCCGCAGTATGTGTTCATCATAACTTCTGCGGGGAGGGTAGCCGTGATAACTGTATCTGCTCCTCGCCGGGGCCAAATGATAATTTTATCTGGTAGTGTGGTGACACTGGGGCCGGTGGGCGCGGCCTAAGAGGCCCGCAAGAGGGCGGCGAGACGGCCCAAAAGGTCTCCAGGACGGGCCACGAGGCTTCTTAAACGGCCCGAGAGGGCCCCACGAATTCCCTAAGTCGGGCCCCAGTGCGAGGACACGAATCGGCCTTTCGAGCGCACCGCCCCAAGACTTCCCCCAAAGGCGCAGAGATGGCTCCCAGAGGGTCCAAGAAGCCCCTCAGACGACGCTGGAAGTTCGACGCTCCCCAAGAGAGAAGGATCCAAGACCTCTTGGGGGCCGTTTAGGACCCTCTTTTCGTCGTCCTGGGGGTCTCTCGGGGCCCTCTTGGGCCGTCTTGAGTGCCTCTTGGGCTGTCTTGGGGCGATGTGGGGCCGTCTCGGGCGCCTCTCGGACCATCTTGAGGCCGTCTTGGGGCCATCTTGGGCCGATCTTGGGCGCTCTTGGGGCTGCCTTGGATGTTTCTTGGGCTGTCTCGGGCGCTTCTGGAGCCGTCCCGTGGCCGTCTCGGGCCGTTTTGGGTGGGGCGATCTGGGGGCCTGTGCAGTCGTCTAGGAGACTGTGCAGATGGAAAGGCTTGGAGACGGTGCGGTGGGGGCCTGCACAGCAGTCTTGGAGACCGGGCGCTGGGGCCGTCTAGGGCTATTATGAACTGCTCTTGGGGCTGTCTTGGGTGCGGCTTGGGCCGTCTGTGGGGCTTTGGGGGGGCCCTCCTGGGAGCCTATGAGCGCGTCTTCGGGCGAGCTGGGGGCCTGAGTAGCCGTCTTGGGCGCTACGAGGAGGAAAAAACAATATATATATATATATATATATACATATATATATATATATATATATGTATATATAGTGAACATGTGCGTTTCCCGTCGGGAATGTAACGATTTTGGCATCTTGGGGCTCTCGGAGCCGTCCCATGGGCTATTCTGAACTGCTCTTGGGGCTGTCCCGGGGCCGCCGCGGGCCGGTTGGGGGCCCTCCTGGGGTGCTCTGGGGGCGTCCTGGGGCGATCGGGAAGGCCTGTAAAGCCGTCTTGGACGCGGTAAAGACGAAAAGAGCGAGCATATCAAAAATGTATGTTTTCCAAAAGGAATGAGGCAATTTTTGCCGCTTGGGTCCTCCTGGGGGTCCTCCTGGGCCGCCTTGGGAGCCTCCTGGCCTGCCTTAGAAGCCTCTGGGGCCGACCTGGGGCTCGGTTGGGTCCCTCTTGGTCTGTCCGGGCGCCCTCGTGGGCGTCTCTGAGCCGTCTCGGAGCGGCCCGGGGGCTCGCAGGGCGGCCTGGAGAGCCCGGCCAACCTTTCGAGACAGAGGACCCTCTGGCACGCAAAGATCGCTGCATTGTAGAAGAGAAGACGTCGGGATGCAGCTTCGCCTCCCATATCTCGCTGAGCAGCGCCAAGGCCTGTTGCCACTGCCCGCCCTTTCCGCACGCGCTAATGCCGGCGTTGTAGCTGATTGTAGCTGAGTAGGACTGACCCGTGGACTACGTTCTGCCACCAGGCGATCAGGATAGATGGCGTCATGTTCGCCATGGTCAGCTCGAGGTCAGTTCGCGGTCCCCCTCGTGGGGCCTCATTGGGGCCGCCTTGGGCCGTTTTGAAGGCTTCTTGTGCCGTCGTGGGGCCCTTTTGGGCTGTCTGGAATCTCTCTTGGGGGCCTCTAGGGCCATCTTGGCGCGATCGTGGGAGCCCTGGGGCGGGCTTGGGGTGTGAAGGCTCCGAACGGGCGAAAAGTTCAGACTGTAGCCTTTGCAAAAGAATGGAGAAAATAAGAAGCGCACGGGCGCCTTACTTTCATGGGTGGCCAGCGTGGCCCCAGAACTCTCTCTGAGGGACCTGTCCTCGGAAGCCTTCTTGGGAACAATTGGGCTGGTTTGTGGCGTGGAGGCTCCGAAGAGGCGATAAATTCAGACCGGAGCCTTTGCAAAGGAGAGGAGAAAACAAAAGGCGCATGGGCGCCATTTTTTTCTGAGTGGCTGGCGCGCTCCAAGAACTCTCTGAGGGATCTTCTCTCGGAAGCCTCTCGGAGGCGGTTTTGGGGGTGTCCTGTGGCTTCTCGAGGATCTCTTGGGACCTGATTTGGGCATCTCCGGGATCCCTCTGAGGGGTCTGGGGGTGGGACCGTCTTGGGCCGCTTGAGGGGTCTCTTGGGCCGTCTTGGGGCCCTCTTGGGCTGTCTAGGAGCTGTCCTGGGGGCCTCTTGGGCCATCGTGGCGCGATCTTGGAGGTCCTGGGGCCAGATTGGAGCGTCGAGTCTCCGAAAAGACAGAAACGCTGAAACCCTTCGAAAACCCAATGGGAATCAATGATTTGGGCCTCTCGGGGCCTGTCTTGAGGGCCTCTTCGAGCCCTTTTGGGCCGGCTTCTAGCACTGTGGCGCCTTCTGGGGCGTCTGGGGGGGCCTCTTGGGGGCCAGCTCGCGGTTTCTGGGATCATACTGGAGCGGAGGGCGCAAAATGTAATTTGGAGTTCTCCCATCTTGAAGCCCTCGTGGCGCCGTCTTGGGCCGCCTTACGGGGCTCTTGGGCCGTCTTGGGGCCCTCTTGGGCTGTCTAGGAGCTGTCCTGAGGGCCTCTTGGGCCATCGTGGCGCGATCTTGGGGGCCCTGGGGCCGGATTGACGCTGAAACCCTTCGAAAACCCAAGGGGAATCAATGATTTGGGCCTCTCGGGGGCATCTTGGAGCCCTCTTGGGCCGTCTTCCCGAACTGTGGGGTTCCGGAAAATCAGATTGGCGACCTCTAGGACCGGCTGGAGGCATCTCGGGCCATCTCGGGCCGTCTTGGGGCCCTCAGAAGCCGGGTCGGCTGGAGACGGTCTTGACCCCACTGGTCCCCCTCCCTTCTGGCACGCGGTTCCCCCAGCGTTGTAGTGTAGACTACGGCTGACCTGTGGACTACCGTCCAAGAGTGCCAGAGTATTGAGAGTGTGGCTGCTGCTGCGCAGTGCTCGAGTGCGAGCTGTGTGCTTGATGGTTGTGTCGGCGTCTAGGGCAGCGCTTGCAGCAGCAGCAGCAGCAGCGGATCTAGCAGCATCGGCATAGTCCAAGAGCGAGTCGGAGCGACGTGACAAACACGGCAGCCACTGGGCAGAGGAAGCCGTGGGCAGCGAGGAGGAGGAGAAGGAAGAGGAAGAGGAGTAGGAGGAGGAGGAGGAGGAGGAGGAGGACGAAGAGGTCGAAGAGGCGAAAGCAATCAGCATGACCCCCCCCCCAACAAAAAAAACAAAAAAAACTCCTGGGACACGCGCCGTGCGAGAGGGGGTCCGTGAACAAACAAAACAACAGCAACAAAAAACGTTCCTGGGCGTCTCCGGCTAGGTCCGGAAACACTTGTTGAAGCCTCTCTCGCGCGAGAGGTGTCCCAAGAGGTGTGGGGCGTGTGTTTCCCAACCATCTTGTGGTGTTGGGTCCTCGTTTTGAAGAGGCAGCGCCCCGCGTTCCTCCTTGCTCCCTCCCCCTCCTCCATCACCTCCCATCCGTGCCTCTCCCCCCATCCCTGCCTCTGTTTTCCGCATGTCCATTTCGGCACACTCCTCACACGGTTCGCGTGGCCCCATAGGGAGCCCCACCGAAGGCCCCAGTGGCAGGGTCCGCATGGCGCCGCCGCCCCATTTCGGCACCCCTCTCACACGGTTCGTGGCCCCATAAGGAGCCCCAACGAAGGCCCCAGTGGCAGGGTCCGCATGGCGCCGCCGCCCCACACGGTTCGTGGCCCCATAGGGGGCCCACCGAAAGCCCCAGTGGCAGGGTCCACATGGCGCCGCCGCCCCATTTCGGCACCCCTCTCACACGGTTCGTGGCCCCACAGGATGCCCCACCGAAGGCCCCAGTGGCAGGGTCCGCACGGCGCCGCCGCCCCATTTCGGCACACCCCTCACACGTGTCGTGGCCCTATAGGGAGCTCCACCGAAGGCCCCAGTGGCAGGGTCCGCATGGCGCCGCCGCCCCACGCACCCCTCACACGGTTCGCGTGGCCCCATAGGGAGCCCCACCGAAGATCCCAGCGGCAGGGTCCGCATGGCGCCGCCGCCCCATTTCGGCACACCCCTCATACGGTTCGTGGCCCCATAAGGAGCCCCACCGAAGGTCCCAGCGGCAGGGTCCGCATGGCGCCACCGCCCCACACACCCCTCACACGGTTCGCGTGGCCCCATAGGGAGCCCCACCGAAGGTCCCAGCGGCAGGGTCCGCATGGCGCCGCCGCCCCATTTCGGCGCACCCCTCATACGGTTCGTGGCCCCATAGGGAGCCCCACCGAAGGTCCCAGCGGCAGGGTCCGCATGGCGCCGCCGCCCCATTTCGGCGCACCCCTCACTCGTGTCGTGGCCCCATAGGGAGCTCCACCGAAGTCCCCAGTGGCAGGGTGCGCCGCTGCCCCATTTCGGCACACCCCTCACTCGGTTCGTAGCCCCGTAGGGAGCCCCGCCAAAGGCCCCAGTGGCAGGGTCCGCATGGCGCCGCCGCCCCATTTCGGCACACCCCTCACACGGTTCGCGGCCCCATAGGGAGCTCCACGCAGGGTCAGCATGGCGCCGCCGCCCCCATTTCGGCACACCCCTCACACGAGTCGTGGCCCCATGGGGAGCTCCACCGAAAGCCCCAGTGGCAGGGTCCGCATGGCGCCGCCGCCCCATGTCGGCACACACCTCGCACGGTTCGTGGCCCCATGGGGAGCCCCACCGAAAGCCCCAAAGGCAGGGTCCGGATGGCGCCGCCGCCCCATTTCGGCACACCCCTCACACGGTTCGTGGCCCCACAGGATGCCCCACCGAAGGCCCCAGTGGCAGGGTCCGCATGACGCCGCCGCCCCATTTCGGCGCACCCCTCGCACGGTTCGTGGCCCCATAGGAAGCCCCACCGAAAGCCCCAGTGGCAGGGTCAGCATGCCCCCGTCACCAATTTCGGCACACCCCTCACGCGTGTCGTGGCCCCATAGGGAGCTTCACCGAAGGCCCCAGTGCCACCGTTCACATGCGTCCCCGCCACCACCTTCGGCACACCCCTCACACGGTTCGTGGCCCCATAGGGAGCTCCACCGAAGATGAAATTCACACCTGCGTTACTCACAACTGCATATGGTTGGGTCATTCGCCAGGCTAATTTTCCGGTCAGGCGGCGCTTCCACGAAGTATCAATTTGAAGTGCACCCTGGGGGGAGGAGTTATTGGAGGTTTCTGCCAAGGCCTCTTGGGCAGCTTCTGGGAGCCTCTTGGGAGCGTCTCTGGGGCCTTCTGGGAGCCTCTCGGGGGCTCGCTGGCTATGGAGATGGCCAGATGGGGGGAAGATGCTCCAGAGTTGGTATGCTTGGGTCTCTCTTGGAGCCGTCTTGGAGGTTTCTTGGCCTGGCTGGGAGACCTCTGGAGGCCTCTAGGGGGCGTCTTGGACCGTCTGAGGAGCTTCCTGGGAGGCCGCCTTGGCTGCGCCGGGCCGATTTCGGAGGCCTCTGGTGCGAATCGGGCCAGATGAGGGGGGGGCGTTCCAGAGTTGACGGTCCTGGACTTCCCGACTTCCCTTGGGGCCGTCTTGGGGGGTTTCTTGTGACGTCTAGGGGGCCTCTGGAACGGTCTTGACGGCATCTTGGGCCGTCTTAGGCGCCCACATGGGCGTCGCCCAGTCGGCGTGGGACCGATGTAGGAGGCCTTCGGTGCCGTATTGGGCGTGTTGGTGTCGGAGAAAGGAGCATCAGAGAACATAGCAAGAACATGTTGATAATATCGCTAATGATGCGTCCTCACCGCTCTCCTGGAGGTCCTATGGGAGGCTTTTGGAGCTGGGTTGCGTTTTGCGGCTGGATCCGAAAGCACTTTGCTGCAACCCCTCCCGCGCGAGAAGTGTCCCAGGAGGTGTGTGCGGTTTTTTCCAAAACCCAGCGGGGCTTCCACGAAGTAGCAATGTCCAGTGCACCCAGGGGGAGGGGTTCGTGGAGGCTTCCGCGAAGGCGTCTGGGGCGTCTTCTGGGGGGCCCTCGGGAGCGTTTCTGGGGCTTGTTTGGGGCTCGGCGGCCGTCCATGGAGGGTCTCTGGCACATCTCCAAGCCTCTCAGGGGCGTAAGGGGTTCTCGGCCCGCCTGCGAGATCTCAGGTGGACTCTGGGGGGGCGTCTTGGGCTGTCTTGGGGGTCTTCCTAGGAGACCGCCTGGGCCGCGAGGGGCCGATTCGGGAGGCCTCGGGCGCCGGATGGGGCTAGATGGGGTGGAAACGTTCCAAAAGTGAACCTCTCGGGCCTCCTTCGGGACCGTCTGGGGGGGGGATTCTTGGGCCGTCTTGGGAGCCTCTGGAGCGGTCTTGAGGGCCTCTTGGGCCGTTTGAGGAGCTGCCGTGGGAGCTGCCAGGGCCGCGCTGGGCCCATGGTGGAGGCCTGCGGTGCAGTTTTGGGCGTCATGGGGCCGCAGAAGCGAGCATCAGAGAAATCACCAAAAAGCGTGGAGAATATCGATAGTTTTGCCTCCTCGCGGCCCTCCTGGAGGTTCTCTGGGATGCCTGTGGAGCTGGGGTGGGTCCCTCTGAGACCATCGTTGGTGCTCTCTTGGGCTCTCTTGGGCCCTCTGGGCTATCTGATGGCCCCCGTGGGCCGTCCACACAAGGGGAACCGCCGAGGCGACGCCCCCCAAAGCCCAACCGGGGTTTCGTCTTTTCCTCTGCTGGCACGCGGGATGCCCGGTATTGTCGGTGAGATGACGTTGGGCCGCACCGCCACCTCCCACATCTCGCTCAGCAGCGCCAATGCCCGCTGCCATTGATCACCCTTCTCGCATGCGCTAATCCCAGCACTGTAGCTGATGATGTTTGGCTCTAACTTCGCCTCCCACATCTCACCGAGCAGCGCCAATGCCCACTGCCACTGCTCGCCCTTCCCGCACGCGCTAATCCCAGCGTTGTAGCTGGTGGCGTCGGGCTCCAGCTTCACCTCCCACATCTCGCTGAGCAGCGCCAAAGATCGTTGCCACTGTTCGCCCTTCCCGCACGCGCTAATCCCGGCATTGTAAGAGACTAGGGCTGACCCGTGGCCTCCCAGCCATAAAATCTGTCCGAGGTGGCACGTTGAATCAGGGCAGATATGTTGCCGAAAGGCTTTCGTGATAACGTTGGGCCCGAACCTCGCCTCCGCTGTTGCTGCATGCAGCTGCAGGGTGATGCTGCCTGCGGCATGTTGTTGTTGCTGCTGCTTACTCTTACTGTGCTGCCGTTGACTGCTGCGGACTGTTATTTCTCTGTTCCTGCTTGAGGCTGCAGGTACTGCTTCTTGATACTCTTTCTACATGATGCAACCTGCAGCTCGGGAGTGGAGCGAGGAGCGAGGAGCGAGGAGCAATGAGCGAGGAGACAGGGTCGAGGGGGAATGTGGGGGAAGCGAGGAGCGACCAGCGAGGATCACGGAGCGAGAAGGGAGGAGTGACGGCAGAGAAGGGAGAATGAGAGAGAGAGAGAGAAGCGAGGAGGGACGAGGGAGAGCCAGCGAGGAGGGGGGAGGCAGGAGCCAGCAGCCGGGAGGCAGAAGCGAGGGGCCAGGAGAGGGGCGAGGAAGGGGCGAGGAGGCGGCAGAGGAGAGGAGCCGGGAGCGAGGAGAGGGAGGCAAAGGGGCGAGGAGAGGGCGGGGGGAGACGAGGAGCGTAAAGAGACAAAGGGGAGCCGGGAGCGAGAAAAGGAAGGCACGAGGAGGCGCCAGCACACGCGCACGTCTCCATGGCCTCGGCGCGCTCTGTCGTCTTGGGGGTCGCTCTGTGGGGTGGCCGGCTGGCGCGGCCGCGGAGCTCTCTCTCTCTGACGGGCCTTCCCTCGGAGAGCTCGTCGCGGCGATTTTTTCGGGGGGGGCCTTTGGGGGGCCTCTCGGGGCCCCAGTGGACGGGTCTCCGTCGGTTGCGCTCGTTGCCCTCTCATTCCCTGGCGCGGGCAGGCGCGGGTACCCCGATGGCCAAGAAGACGCCTCGGCCAAGAGGGCCTGATTCGTGTGCGGGTGGGGGAGGGGGAGGCTCCTGGGGCTTTAGGGGGGGGACTTCTTTGGGGCCAGCTGACGGTCTCGGGGGTCATCTTGGGGAGGAGGGCGCGACGTGTCGGCTCAAGCTCCCCCTTTCGGGGATGGACAGAACCCCCTTAAGCAAAACGTGGCTTAGCGAAAAAACGCCCTCGGGCCCAAACCTGGCGGGCGCACGCCTGGAATACGACGGCCGCGGCGCCCTCTCGAGAACCGACAACGGACAATCCACCAATCGACGTGTCAGGGTGGGGGTTCTGTACACCCCCGACCCTTTGGGGGCCCTGTATGGCCCCCCTCCTCCTCTTCCTCCTCCTCCTCCTCCTCCTCCTCCTCCTCCTCCTCCTCCTCCTCCTCCTC